GTAACTTTATTTCCTCATATTATTACATACCTAGGTATTTAGTCAAAATATTACAGAATTTCTTATTTCCCGAATTTTCTACATTTGTAGCTTTATTTCTTCATATTATTACATATTTAGTCAAAATATTACAGAATTTCTTATTTCCCGAATTTTCTACATTTGTAGCTTTATTTCTTCATATTATTACATATTTAGTCAAAATATTACAGAATTTCTTATTTTTCGAGTTTTTCACATTTGTAACTTTATTTCTTCGTTTTATTAGATACATATTTTTCAAATCAACGCACATGCTTCTCACTCTATAATTCCCAGGTTCAAATCTCAGTGAGTTATTTTTTTTAATTATGTATTTATTTTTTATTTTTCATTTATTTAAGATTAGATTTCTTCTTTCTTCACTTCTAAAGAAGAAAAAATATGATATTCAATATAAGTGATACTTATTCTTATATAAATATAAACAAAATAAATCTTACTGCCTTCCAACAGCATTGCAGGTAAAAAGTATGTATGAGAAAGTTGTTCGTTAATACATGTTGCAACTTTTTCTCATACATTATATTCATGTAGAATGGCATCAGAGAGCTCTNNNAATGAAAAATAAAAATAAAAAAATAAATAAAAGAAATAACTCACTGGGATTTGAACCTGGGAATTTCAGAGTGAGAAGCATGTCCGTTGATTTGAAATTTCAAGTGAATCGAACATAATAATTCTTACTGCCTTTCAACAACTTTGCAGGTACAAAGTATGTATGAGAAAGTTGTTCGTTAATACATGTTGCAACTTTTTCTCATACATTATATTCATGTAGAATGGCATCAGAGAGCTCTATAAAAGAGTTAGTTAAAGAATCGTCTCTGGCGCCCTCTAGTGTCACTCTATTGAACTATGGTATCTTAAAGAAAGTTACAGAAAGTTTTAAGGAACAACTTTCCCAAAGACACCTTATACCTGAGTCTTATGGTTTAGGTTTTATAGAATTCTTTTCACTTTGAACTGCTTTATAGCTTTATATGGAGAATCTGCCGTTCACATGAATATAAGGAATTGGCTTCATTGGCTTAGTGCAATGAAGTCAGAAAATTTTTTTGAAATTCACTTGGAAACAATAATAGGTAGTTTATATAGGACATTTGTCATTCGTTCGAATCCCGGTTGGAAGAAAATTTTTTTTTAATGAAAGAGAAGTGGGGTTTTATATTCATTAAAAAAAAAAGCACAAATGTCCATTGCCTCTCGACTGTTTTAACAGACGGGTGTGGGTCTTTTAAGACCCTGTCTTAGACCTGATAATGATGATGACCTACTTGTGAGATTATTTTGAGTTTTAATCTTATCCAAATCGTTGGATCAAATTTTGAATTTTTTTAATCTAACTCCAATCGTTTGCAATTTTGAATTGTTACTGATTCTCTTCAAAACAACATAAATGATAATTTATTCTTATAACAGGTAATTCAAATAGTTATAAAACATTGAGAATAAAATTAACGTAGCTGATGGTACTTATCAAGTTTATTGAACTTGCGAGAGTTTCTTAGCGCTATCTCCAAATTGTTTTTTAAAATTTGTGACCTTTAACCAACAATTACTAATCTGAAAATTGCTTTGCTTAACAACAATTAAATGATGTTGCTTTAGTTTAATTAAATTGTATTTAGGTACATAAAAAATTGTGAGAGCACATTTTAAAAACCAGATTTTACATATAAAATGCATTCGGCTTCCCTCTTTTGTTTTATTCACTTCCATTCATTCTCTTATCTTGTAAACTGGAATATTTTTATTGTTCTTCTTCCTATTGAGCTCTTTATCATTGTGTCAGAATATTTAGTCAGTTGCTCTCTGTCTACAGAAGATTAAACAACTTTCTGAATATTTTTCTTCCAGTTTAAGGAATTTATTTATGTAAAAATGCCGATTGATATTCAAAGTGTCTTAGTTTGTGACGCTGTTGACGCATCATGCGTTGATTTATTAAAAACGAATGGGATAACTGTAGATTATAAACTGAAATTACCAAAGGAAATTTTAATTGAAGAAGCAATAGTAAGAAAGTTCATTTTGCTGACATTGCAAGTTTTCATTCATGTAAAATTCTGACGGCATCATTTGATGCTTATGCACACACAAATTTGTTCATTTTGAAGTAAAAAGTGGTCTCATTTCAATTATATTGAATATTTATCTCATTTATTAGAATTATGACGCAATCATTGTTCGATCAGATACAAAAATTACTGCTGACGTGCTTACATCGGGTGCGAGTGGAAAGTTGAAGGTTATTGGACGTGCTGGTGTGGGCGTTGATAACATTGATATTGAAGCTGCTACAAAAAATAATATTGTGGTACTTAAGTGAGTTGGAAGTTCATTTATTATCAATTTTCTTTTTATTTGATGTCTGACTCAACTACGTAATAGAGAGAGAAATCGAAACTGTTTAATAAATAAAAAAAAACAAATTTATTTGAAGCACTCCGGGAGGAAATTCACTGGCTGCAGCTGAACTCACGTGTTTATTGATTGGATCACTTGCACGTCCAATATGCCCAGCAGCGCAAAGCATGAGAGAAGGTCGTTGGGATCGTAAGTTATATGCAGGCACAGAGCTTTATGGAAAAACATTAGCAATTCTTGGTTTGGGACGAATTGGAAGAGAAGTCGCAATACGATTGAAAGTTTGGGGAATGAATGTTATTGGTTACGATCCAATTACGACTGATGAAGAGGCTGAAGCTGCTGGAATCACGAAGATGGAACTTGNTTCAGACGCCGAGTTTGTGATTTCAGACGCCGAGTGTGTGATTTCAGACGCCGAGTGTGTGATTTCAGACGCCGAGTGTGTGATTTCAGACGCCGTGTTGCGATGGGCACAATTCCACCAATTGTCCAACCAAATCTGGCATGTTACATGACAACACAATGTGCAGCTCGCCTGGGATTGAAATTTTATGACACAACTGACACTGTTTTCGGAATAAGTGGTAAAAGTACTGACATAAGGTATGAATCCACAACAACAATCGCGTCATTCTATGACAAAAATTACCAGAAGAAAATATCATTCTCACTTCTAAATGATATTACTGGGATCATGCCTTCTTGTTGCATTGATCTCACAAAAATCAAGATTCCTGATAATTATCAATTAGCTGACCCGTCGTTCCATGAACCAAGCAAAATTGATATATTGTTGGGAGGTGAAGTGGAACCTGATGTTCGACTTGATGGAAAGCTTTACATTCAAGGTGGACCCATCATGGAACATACCAGATTTGGTTGGACAATTGGTGGAATTGTGCCAATCGCAACACGCTCGTATCTCTCGTCATTCAACGCACGATTTGATACTCGTGAACTAAAGCAACCAGCGTTAGTTGAAAGCATCGAACGATTCTTGAACGCTGATGAAATCATGTCATCAGCTCCAATACTTACCGCTGAAGAAGCTTATTGTGAGAAGTTGTTCTCTGAAACCACAACAAGGAATGAAGATGGACGTTTCGTTTGTTACATGCCAATGAAGGGTAATCGTAACAGTCTTGGTTCCAATTTGAAGAGCTCAATGTATCAAGCATACGGAGTTGATGCTCGACGAAAAAAGGATGAGAAATTTGATCAACTTTACACCATCATCATCATCAGATCAAGGACAGGCACATATAGGCCAATCCTGGCCATATAGGAACCACCATCAAATGCCGAAGGCATTTGTGGGCAATGGTCATAAGTGGCACGTGAAAATGACAACACTACTTAATTTCAACAACTATAGTGAAATTATTTTGTGCTGACTATTCACTACCGACCGTTTTGCATCCACCCAAGGTCTTTTCTAGAAAGTAGCCTTGGGCTGTTTTTACCATCATTTGACGATAGAGTGTTTCATCTTCAACTTCGTTCCGCTAGAGATTCTAAGCCTGAATATAATCTTCATTGTTCGAATTGAATAACAATTCGAGACAAAGAGATATTTCAGCACTATTTTTCATCCCAGCGAAAACTTAGTTAAAGACAAAACTGTTTAAGGGGCGAAGTATCTAAACTTCTGAAAACCTCAGATCTACATGACCACCACCAGTCTCGAACCGGCCGCGCCGTTGGCAACGCGTTCGATACAAAACCGTGATTTAGTCACTTAGACCAATGAAGCAAATTGCCCCCGCATGCATTGTCAATTTACATTCATGCAAAATTCTCATTCGTTGCTTACACACATAAAAATTGGTTTCGTTTCAATAAAATTGAATATTTGTCTCATTTATTAGAATTATGACGCGATCATTATTCGATCAGATACAAAGATTACTGCTGACGTGATTACATCAGGTGCGAGTGGAAAGTTGAAGGTTATTGGACGTTGTGGTGTGGGCGTTGATAACATTGATATTGAAGCTGCTACAAAAAATAATATTGTGGTACTTAAGTGAGTTGGAAGTTCATTTATTATCAATTTTCTTTTTATTTGATGTCTGACTCAACTACGTAATAGAGAGAGAAATCGAAACTGTTTAATAAATAAAAAAAAACAAATTTATTTGAAGCACTCCGGGAGGAAATTCACTGGCTGCAGCTGAACTCACGTGTTTATTGATTGGATCACTTGCACGTCCAATATGCCCAGCAGCGCAAAGCATGAGAGAAGGTCGTTGGGATCGTAAGTTATATGCAGGCACAGAGCTTTATGGAAAAACATTAGCAATTCTTGGTTTGGGACGAATTGGAAGAGAAGTCGCAATACGATTGAAAGTTTGGGGAATGAATGTTATTGGTTACGATCCAATTACGACTGATGAAGAGGCTGAAGCTGCTGGAATCACGAAGATGGAACTTGATGATATTTGGCCACTTGCAGATTATATTACTGTCCATGTTCCTTTGATACCATCAACAAGAAGTAAGCTTTCATATGTAGATAAAAGTAATAAATTTAATTAACTGTTCTCATGCATTAAAAGATTTGATATCAAAGACAACTCTCAACAAATGTAAAAAGGGAGTGAAGGTTGTAAATGTTGCTCGTGGTGGTGTTATCGATGAGTTTGCAATCCTTGAAGCACTCGAATCAGGACAATGTGGTGGTGCAGCTTTTGATGTTTACGAAGAAGAACCACCGAAATCTGAAGTGACAAAAAAATTGATTCAACATAATAAAGTTATTGCATCACCTCATCTTGGTGCAAGCACAGCAGAAGCTCAAATAAAAGTTGCGGTTGAAGTTTCTGAACAATTTATCGCATTGACGGGAAAGTCGACTCAGTTCGCACAATATGCTGGCGTTGTCAATCGTGATGTCTTAAAAAAATACTTTTAATGTTTAATGTTTTCTTCGAAGCTTTTGAAAAGTAATATAAAGATAACATAAAAATTGTGTTGTTAACTCCAATAAACATTTTATCCAGCTTTAGTTGAAAAAAAATTTGTCTTTGACTTTTTATTGATATTCATCAAATGAATCAAGAATTCAAGGAACAATTTCGATTATAGCACATTCCAAATTATAAGGCAAGACTTCTTTCAATGTTGTTGTTACTTGATCTAATAATTTTTGATACCAAGTCTGAAGGCAACGTTTACGAAACGTTAAGGTTAATCAATTAATGGTGTTTCAAGCGCCAACTTCTCAAAATTTTCAAGTAGCTTTATCAATTTTTGTACAACCAGTGAAACATCATATTTAAAGCTCAGACGAATCAATATATAGCTAAATCGAATTAATAAAACCGAATAAATCGTAAAAAGTTTCACTATTTTCCCAATGAGCCATATCCATTGCATTTTTTATTTCTTTTCATGGTTCTACAAAATTGTATTTTATCGTAGGTGACGACATATTACCTACCTTGATTATGAATTCCTTTTACTGGAGTAGTGTCATAACATTTGATAGCATTGAGGATCTTCTTGGGAGCGTTTGCATCATCAATCCCTATGTCATTTAAATCTTTATCATTGAGAGTAAATCTCTTCTCGGTGAAAAATGGGATATAAATTTAGAAATCCAAGATTATTTAAGATCAACTTAAGAGAAATTTTTTCATTCAAATCGTCACAACTAGGTATCTTCGCTAAGGATTGTCGATAACAAAGAATATAATATTAATAAGCTTGAAAATTTTGTTTTGCTAAATGATTTTACCTTGAAACAGTTAAATCAAAACACGTGCGTGAAGAACGATGCTTCTTGGGACGTTCTGATTCCGAACAACTCCTTTCTCTATATTAATGAAAAATATGAAAAAATATCATTAAAATGTCTGTCAAAAAGAAGTGAATTTTCACTTCATTTCACGACGCTTTAGAAAGGTTCCATGATGTGAATCCTTAGTCTTTCTAATGGGACTCAAGCAGGGCGACTTCACATTAGCATTAACCATAGGAGAAAAACAGCGCATTTTATTAAATTTTTCAGCATTAGGTGCTAAATTCATTCAGATATAAAGATAAATTTGATGTATCTGGAAAGCTCTCATTTAAATTGTTCGAATAAGAAATAGCGTTCAAGCTTTTCTTCTCTGAAACGAAATAGAAGCTTGGTAGACATTTTTTTCCCCATTTCCAAAATGTCTTTGTTATATTTTAATTTAAATTTTCCATCGTATAGTTCAGCCATGATTTAAATGAAAAATTAAAAGAGCCTTTGAGAATATGTAAATGTAAGTATCTCTTTATTCTTATTTTGTGTCCGATTTTGTTAACTCTATTTAAGCTTGAGAAAAAACTTTACTGCTAAGGTGCAATTGAAATTGTAAAACAAGTAAGGGTTGTTAAAAATCATTGTGGTAGCGAATCAAAAATACATTTGTTACTGCTAACGATTTTTACCTTTCTAAGTCATTGATTATTTCTATAGACAATTTTATGAACTGAACTCATTTTTTTTTAATTTGAATCTGCAGAACTTCAGGCTCCATGCGATATGTAGGTAATTTGGAGTTTTTTTCCATTCTTTTTATTTATAGTGGTTTGATCAACCATTTCCTCAATTTACTTGGAATTAACGAACAAAATTCAAAAATATTCATTTTTCAACCCCTTACGGTTCAAAGTAATTTTTGAACCGCTTTGTTTGTAGACGAGGGGGAGGACTACCCGGCACTTCGACTTGCGTGGATTTGACCAAAACCAGTTTTCATACAAAGCGCGGGCAAATTTTATTCCGTGCGTGAATATTTTCTCCGTGCGTGAGAATTGTACACTCTCCACCTGAAACTGACTTACTGGAAGGCGAGTGTCAGGTAGAGAGTGTACAATTACTTGGAAGGAATCAAATAAAGCGAACAAAAAAAAGAATAAACCTTCATGTACCTCGAATAAAATTGCCTGATTATGAGTAAAAGACAAACAGCCATTCATTGGTTTCGTAAAGGACTTCGTGTTCATGATAATCCAGCATTAGCTACAGCTGTTAACGAGGCAATTAAACGGGATTTAATTCTTCGTCCTATGTTTATGCTTGATCCAACGATCATTCAATGGTAAGAATAAAATTCTTTCTGTTTAAAACAATCCAATAGTTTTGAAATGCAAATATAGGTTGAAAGTTGGTCCAAACAGATGGAGATTTCTACAACAAACACTTGCTGACTTGGATAAAAATTTACGAAAACTAAACACCAAACTTTTTGTTGTTCGCGGGAATCCAAAAGAAGATTTTATAAAATTATTTAAAGAGTGGAACGTAATACTTTTAACATTTGAAAGTGACATCGAACCTTATTCTGTTGACCGAGATGCAACTGTTATTAAAGCAGCAAAACAATTTCATATTGAAGTCATTCAAGAATGTTCACATACTATTTTTAATCCTGAATTGGTTGTTAAAAGAAATGGAGGGAGTGCACCTTTAACTTATCAAAAATTTCTCTCTGTTGCAAGTTCTATAAAAGTGCCTTCACCTGTTGAATTCCCACCGAAATTGCCGGCTTCAAGTCTACCTGTAAATGATCATTATGAAGAAAAAGATGAAAACTGTTACGATGTTCCAACATTAAAAGAACTTGGATTAAATGAAAAGGATTTGGGATCATGTCAGTTTCCTGGTGGAGAATCTGAAGCTTTAAGTAGAATGGAAATGAATCTCAAAAGAAAGAAATGGATCTGCGACTTTGAAAAGCCAAAGACATCACCAAATTCTCTTGAACCATCAACAACAGTTTTATCACCGTATCTAAAATTTGGAGCTCTGAGTTCAAGATTGTTTTATAAAAGACTTAAAGAAGTATATAAGGGAAGTAAACATTCAAACCCACCAGTATCGCTTGAAGGGCAAATAATGTGGCGTGAATTTTACTATACGGTTGCAGCAACAACACCGAACTTTAACAAAATGGTTGGTAATAGAGTTTGCGCTCAAATTCCTTGGGTAAAGAATCAGAAATATCTAGAAGCATGGAGTTTTGGTCGAACTGGTTATCCTTTCATTGATGCAATAATGAGACAATTACGACAAGAAGGTTGGATTCATCATTTGGCTAGACATGCTGTAGCTTGTTTTCTTACACGTGGAGATCTTTGGTGTCATTGGGAAGAAGGACAAAAAGTGTTTGAAGAGCTTCTTCTAGATGCTGATTGGGCTTTGAATGCTGGAAATTGGATGTGGCTTAGTGCAAGTGCATTCTTTCATCAATATTTTCGTGTATACAGTCCAGTAGCTTTCGGTAAGAAAACTGATTCGGAGGGAAAGTTCATCAAGAAATACGTCCCGGAATTGAAAAACTTTCCTTCAGGAATAATTTACGAGCCTTGGAAAGCTTCCTTAGAAAATCAGAACAAATATGGTTGCATCATTGGAAAAGATTATCCGAACAGAATTGTTGACCACGATATTGTAATGAAAGAAAATTTGGTGAAAATGAAAGCTGCTTATGCAAAAAAAAAAAAATTTAAGCGATGAGGAGGTAAGAGGAGAAAAAAGAAAAGCAAACGACGAAGGCACCGTTGGCTCCAGTAAAAGAGCATCAACGAACAAAAAACAGAATGTGATTGACAAATATTTTACCAAGTCGTTTAATGACTTTTCTTCTCCTTCTCTTAAGAAATGAATTTTCTCATCGTAAACAATTTTATACAGTTAATTACAATTTCTTTTTACTACATTCATTTATTTATCTACTTATTTTCACATGATTTATTTCTTTAATGCCATAAAATATTTTTTCTTGTTATTTTCTCTAATGCCAGTCCGCTAATTTTATGATAGATAAATATAATTTTTCTTCATCATCATTCTACTGTAAGATTAGGTACTTTGGACATCGTTTTTTTATTTTTAATTTAATGTTGTTATGTCTTTAAGATAAGTGTGGGTTGACTCACATCTTGTGAGAAAAGAAACTTTTTTATGTTTGATTTTAACAGCGATTCTCACCTTTTGTTCCAGTTCACTGCACAACAAAAATTTATTTTCTTGCATATTTTAATAAAAAACAAAACTTCAAATTTCAATGAATTTGATATAGAAATGTTTTCTGTCATCGATTGAGAATCACTGCGTTTCAATCACTGTAATGTTACTGAGCGTACAAATAAATTCCTGCATTGTAAGTTTATCAGAAATGAATGAACAAGTAAACAAAGTTTTTGATTTGGAGGATTTTTTTTTTGTATGTTAATTAATATTTATGTTAGGGACTGATAAATTTATCGAGAACTTCTCGGATCGGATAATGAAATCCATTGAGCTGTTGCTGTCTTTGTTCGAAAGATTTCATCAAAAAATTGTTTATCTTCAACTCGAACCTCATGTGAGTTTCCAACAAGTGCTCGACCCAATAACTCATTGGCGCCTAGCAGACTGTCGTGCATGACTAGGAACTCAATTACAGAGTGCTTCAGAGTATCTTTCACAATATCGAATGTGAGCGCTTCATTGAAAACTGGATTAACTGTGTTGCGTAAAACTGCAGTCTTCTTTTTCTTAAGCCGTTTGCCATTATGAATTATCGAAACCTTTACATAAGGATCTAAATGTTAAGAAACCAAACAAAAACGATTTAAGTTTCAATTAAATAATATTGTAGAGTAAGAGAAGCTTGCCTGATGAATTTCTTGTGTCATCAAACACTCTAAGATTTCTAGCTTTAATTACAACAGCCGTAAGTCTTTCAGCTGATGGTAAATATGAAAGCGAAATCATTAAATCTCCAAGTTCAACTTTGGCATCTTGTTCATCACATGGTCCCAATGATTTCCATAATTCAACTTTATCTGATAAATCTACATGAGCTAACTGAATTTTCAAGCCACCAATGCAAACGTGTCGTGAGTAAGCATCGAAATCATAAAGAAGAATCTCAAGTGTACGACGTCCAATTGTTGCCGGCCGAACTTCAAACACGAAATCTTCATCGAAAACTTTTAATGTAGGTAAAAGAATTTGATTCGAAAAATTTTCTTCAATAAGTAAAAGACATTTTGAAAACTTTACCCGGATTTAGAGTTCTTTTATGGATTCTTGTTTGCCACATGTTGGTTTTTGTAGCATCTGGAAGAAGTCTCACTTTCGCATATGGATCCGCAGTTCCACTAAAATCTCTTGGCTGAAGATCTTGAGCCTATGAAATTATTATATATACTCTCAACTACTTTTCATAAATGCTCATTCTTTAATATACTTCAATAAGTCTTATGGTTAAAATTCCTGCAATCGGATCATAAAGCATGCAAAAGTGTAGAGTTCCGCGTGACTCTTGAGATGACAGCGATGGAAGTTTTTGAGGTGAATTCTGATAAAAGAAAATAATACTTAACTACCTAAAGAATAAAGCAACAACGGCCAGAATATTATTTACCTTATAAAGTGACGTATCTATCTTTGTGTGATCAAGTTTGGCTTGCATGGAGGCCATTTTTGGTCGTGCTGGGCTTGTCGTTGCTAACACAATATGTTTATCAGAACGAACAATAGGAATCGAATAATTGGACAAAGCAAAGGAACGGTTGCTACTCGTAGGTGACGTTGGCGTTTGAGCGTCAGAATCGTCTGTATTGAAAATGAAATATTTAAAACAATGAAGATTAAAAGGTTGATGACTTACCTGAATGAATGTCACTACAATGACCAGTTCCAGACGTCCCGGCAGGTACCCAAAAAGTTGGATCTTCTGTATGATTAGATGTGGGACTGCTGATGTTACGGTTTAATGATCTTGAACTTCCAGCTACTGAACTCTCATTATTAAAAGACATACCACAGTGAACAAGCACTTCATGGCTAAGTTCAAAACAAAAAAAAAATAGAAAAAAAGTCAGTTTCACTTACAAACCAAGGGAAGACCTCAAAGCTTCGTTTTATAACCTTTGAGCATTCTCTTCGTTTTCCTTTGCAGTTTCCAAAAGATTGTTTTCAAACCAATTAAGTTTATAGCGCTTCGAACAAGTAAGGTAAATAAGAACACAAATAAAGGACACAATAATACAAGAGAGAGTCGCGTAAATTGCGATCTGAGACACGGTAATTTCATCGTTGTGTTCCAACGAATCCATCATGTGCCGTTTTCACTGGTATCACTTTAATGGCCCCGAGTTTCGTCCCGTTGAATAAAAGCTTTTGTTTATGACCGCCCTCTTATCGTCACTCAGATTTTATGACGGTCTGATGGTTCGTACACTAACTTCTACGTTTGAGTGATGTTTATTATGCTCTTAACGATTGAAGAAATGTTTCTGGAAAGGGAGAAGAAAAAAAATAGAAAATATTTGTTAACGTTGAAACATGCACAAGAAAAGTCACTACCGATCATTAATTTCAATAACATGAACTTCAATTTGTCTTTGATATATTGCAACTCGTTTAAAAAATTCAATTAGATACATCTCATTCCCCGCATCGTGTTCGTTACGTGAGAGAAATTGCACCGAAACTTTCTTTGATTTGAAAAATGATTAATTTTTAGACACTCCATAAGAATGAATTGAAGTTTTTTCTTCTTTCATGCATTTTTTATTCCCTATGTGCACGTGGAACGTGAGAATAAAAGCTCAATTAAGCTTCAATGGATGAAGGGAATATAAAAGCGATTGATGAAAATATCTCATTCGCTTCAGATCTTTAAAAAAATAATAAATTCAAATTTATAAATGGAAAATTCCAAAAGTTTTTTTAAGATGGAAATTAAACCATCTTGTATTTCGTTTTAAAATAAGAAACGAATTTTTATTGGAATTTCATTACACCTACAACCTGAGGCATTCTTCAAATGAAAACATCTTTTCATTAAGTGAGTTGAATGGCACTCAATGAAAATGTTTAATCCCAAAAAAATTAAATCAAATATTCTTAGAATTCTACTAATTGGCATCTAATTAGCTTTTCTTGATAAATATGTAAATGTTTTTATAATATTTAAGCATTGAACAAAAGCGACGCCAACCGAGATTTAAATGAGCTTTGCTGATACTTTGTACTATATTAATTTGAACATGGAGAACAAAAGAAGAGAAATCATTAGAAAGGCCGTAAGCTTTCTTGGAAAGTATAAAAATACTTTATCTAAGTAGATTCTTATACTTATGATACTCGTGTCACATTCAAGTACTGTCTCTTTGCTCAAAATATAATAAAAAGAAGAAAGATAGAAATAGTAAACAATAATTTGTCTTATAGCCGAGCTTTGAATCTTTCTTGACAGTTCCTGATTTTATCGGAATATGTCTTTTTATAATCCAATTTATTCAACATCCTTTCCTAAATCTAATCCATAAAACATAGAAATAAAACATACTCTGCACATAACTGAATGAATGTTTATCACAATATTTTTACTGCTTTAAAAATTGTTTAATATTCTGATTTTAAGATAGAACATTTCTTTCAGATCATTTGCTTGAATTGCTTATGAAAACATTATCGATATGAAAATCACTTAATTAACATGAAATTTCAGGCACCAATCTTTCCGTTTCATTGTATTTTTATACCTTGGAAGTTTCAATGAAAATTATACAATTAATTTTTTTATGGTGATGGAAGTTTAAATTACATATAAATGCATAAAAACTTTCCGACAACTGAAGTTAATTAAAAATATTCAACTGAATATTTTTTTTTTGGTTACAGGAAAACAATTCAAAACTCTTCATCTATGTTGGGAAAAAAACTTTTTGTAGTTCCATTTACTTTCAACCCTATTAATGTGGGCTTAAGTAAAGTCAAAAAACCATCAGATTTAAGACTGAAACCATATCAGATATTTTCTTTGTTTTTAAAAAATAAAATAATTTTTTAGACTATGAAAAATAAAATTTTAAAGCGTCGGTTATTGTAGTGGTTTTTTAATTAATTTAATTATTCAATGCTACGAAAGTTAATCCTAACTTGATCCTAATAAATGTAGATAAAAATATGTTGTATGTGCACAAAATTAATATCTATTTAAAGGCAGCGTTAAACTCTTAACAGATCATTGAATTTTATTCACCCTCAAATCAAAATTTTTGCAATCGTCTTTCTTAGATTTACATGAGCAAATCACAAACAATCAATCAATCTAACAAAACCCATAAAATTTGTAAACATGCCTTTTTTGTGGTCTTATATTCAGTTTACGACAAAACATTGATATCAATCCTTCAATATTTATTGTATAATTAACTTTTGAATTTCTGTTATCAAAAATATGCATAGCTTTAGTTGAAATAGAAAAGAAATTCTAAATTTATTTGTATCAATGTCTCACCATAGTCACATGGACGTCATATGTCTAACGATAACCCGAGCGGCACACACGGCAATGTCTCTCACAAATCTGGCATATGTCTGCCATAAGGCTAAAATAAATTGACAATTGCCGATAGGTCACCCCCACGGTGCCACATGGTTCGTTTGTGCCGCTCGGGTAATTTCTGTGAATATCAGATATTTTCAAATTAAGATTGCCAAAGATTCCATGAGTTTGGGTTGTTGTAGAGATAATTTCGCTAAATATTTCCATCGAGATTTTTCACGCCTTGATTTCATAGAAAAGTCTGATATTATTTTTAGGATATTGGCTTCTACGAAAATGTCGTGTTGAATTTATTTACAGATACAAAGTTTAGATAGGCTCAAGAATTTTTAGAAAATGAAAATGAGCTGATATCTCAAGGGGGACAAAAATATATCAGCTTATCAAGGATATTATTTTATCGAGGCAATCTTTCATAGAAATTCGATTCAAGGGGGACAAAACAATATCAGTTTATAAAGGTTTATTACTTTATCGAGGCATCAGCTTATTGAAGTTCCACTGTACATATGATGAAAAAGTCAGACATCAATTTATTAGATTTACGTCAAATGAAATTGATTTAACATTAAAAAAATATGCCAGAAAAGACATGAAGCTGGAATTAAGCATTTATATTTCCTACAGGTTTTCGTTATAAATTAATCAGAAATTGTTGAAAGCTTTATCCGCTAGAAAAAGCAAACGTCAATTTGGATTTTAGGCACGTATTAATTCAATTCCTGACATTCGTTCATCTTCTGACCTTTTAGCATTAAACTTCAACTAATGCCATAGGATTTTATTTTGATCTCAAGCCATGTACACGTATCATTTATTTAGTAGGTATTTACTTATCTACATACATCTGTTATCCGCTAAATGACAAGAAAGTTTTCGTAGATCTCAATATTGACTCAATTTCTCAGTAAAGAAGAATCTTTCAAATATAAATTTTATAAATTTTATCTTCACGATCTAACATGCGCTTTTATATTGATTGTAAATATATTACTGCAGCGTTTACTGGCAAATATTGTTGCTGTTTGATGAAACAAAAATATTTCAATCTTCATTTTCTTCTTCTTTTTGTCATCAAGCAAAAAGTATTTGACTGGGCTTTTCATGTAGACTTTGTCAATAACCAACATTGACTTCTATGTGCAAAAACATATTTTCTGCAGTCTCGTTTTCAAACTCTTTTCTATGAAAACAAATTAAAACATTTCCCTTGTGAAATGGATTAACAAATGTAGGCAGGTGGAAGGAAAACATAAATTTATTAGATTTTAGTCACATCCTAAAGCAAGCGAGCTTCAGGGATTTTTATTTCTAAACACAGATTTGTTTTAGTGTCTTTAGAGGATAAACATAAAAATGAGAGTAAAACTTTTCCTACACTTAAAATATAATTCACGAAAAAAAATGTTGATTGCGTGGAGAATAAAATGTTAGATGTTGTTAGTGCGAGACACGCATAAATAAAATAAATAAAATTTATTTACCGGAATTAATCAGACAAGGAGAGAAGTTGTTGAATAAAGGTGTTTTCATGACTTATTTGGGTATGTTATTCAGTAGAGCTTCTCGTTTTGATAAGCCCCTTACAGTTGAAATGAAATTTTATCCAACTTTTTAAAATATTCGCTTACAATGTCACATTTAAATAGGCCAATACGCACTTTTATGTAAATATAAAGCTTTTGATTGTCATTGTATTTTTCTTTTTCATGAAATCAACTCGTAAGAATTAACGAGATGTGACATTCTCACCCACAATCGTCACGTATATTTGGTGTATACTTCCACATATATTTTTAAACATATGAAGATAAAAAATTAATCGTACTTTTGGGCAAAAATCTATGTGAAAATGTCTCTTAAGTAATGCGTTAGCCCCTTCATTCTAATTTAATGTAAAACGCTACACTTAGTCAACATGCTTTTTTACAAGCAACCCTTAGGGTTTGGCGAAATTTTCCAGATAGATAAGTAAATAGATAAAATATTATTTATTTGACCCATATAATAAAATAAGAACATGCTTCGAATGTTTAAGTTTCACACGTCCCGCCAATATTTTTACACATTATTCTTACTTAACGACAACTTCAAGAAATATTTTGATGGTTAGCTTTTGTCTAATAAATATGTGAAAATGTACATTTGTTAGAAGAACAATTCAGAAAAAAAAGGAAAATATGATTGCGTTGAAAAAATCGGTAGCTAAGCTTAATTTTATTTTCGAAAAAAGCTTTCACTCATTCGTTGCGCCACAAGCAGAAGAAGAAAATTTATGCAAATCATTATTATTCATCCGGTATGGAGGCGTCGACAAATTAACATAAACAACAGTCTGGGAAAATCCCAAAAGTGCTATGAATGCAAATATCGTTACGCATTCTATGGAAATTCTATGCTGGCGAATCCGAAGATTTTATTTCATTTTATTCGATTCTAGGAACGAGTTGTTGTTAATATTTCTAAACATTGATTAATGTCAGCGAAAAACTTTATACATTTTTTTATTTAATAAAATAAATACTTTACATGTTTAAATAAATAAATATGAAATTATGCTAGATACTTGTTAATTAATAGGTAGATTGAAATTCTGTTCCACGTTTCTAGATTAAATAATAATAGCACAAATATTTTTAAATTATGATTTTATCTGCTTCAACGTGGTTCAAATCAAATTATTCATAAAACTTTTAATGCTTTTGTTATTCAGATAATCTTTAGAAATATTTCTCTCACTTACTCAGAATTTGTAATGTGAGAATTGCAAAAGAAAATGAATTCATTCAAAACTTCTGCAAGCATTAATTAATTTTACGGGAATTAAAACTTTCTTCTTATTCAGATTTGTGTTTTTCTAACCATCATTATATATTTAAGTCTTTAAATTAAGTAAGTCATTTATCGTTGTATTATAATTAATAATAATTTTGTTGCCCATTTTTTATCATCAAATTTTGTAACGAAAAACTTTCTGCTCGTATCTATGACGTCACAAGTAAATGTTCGACCGCAGTCACACGAATTATTTACATTTTGTATATACCTATGTAGTAGTTCAGTTGTGTTGATGCTTTTCGATCGACAAACCGTATTCTAATTACCTACAAAATATCATATTTTAGACATTTCGAGGATAATTTAGTAACTCCGAGTGGTTTTTTTAATTCAATTCGGTTTTAATCAACTTGATTAAACATTATTAAAAGCTCAAATCAGCCGCAAACTAAATAAATTTGAAACTTCCAAAAACACAACAATAATTTTGACTATAAATAGAATGCAAAGTTTATTGCCCTTTAATCAGTTGTTTTTGAGAGCTTGTTGAGTTTGACGTTTGCAATGCTATCAGAGCATATTGGAACTGGTAAACCACCAATGGATAAAGTTTTAAAACTAATAAAATTCAACAATTGTCGGATCCTTCGTAATCATAAGATCATAAAAGAGGATTTATGGGTTCGAAATGGTAAAATAATCGACCCAGAGAAAATATTCTTCGATGAGAAGAAACAAGCTCATCTGGTAAGATTTTGTGATAAGTCATCATCAATTTGTTGACACACATAATGAAGATAAATTTCAAATCTTGCTGTGTTACTTTTCTTAAAAGCAAATTGACTGTCACAATGCAATCATCGCGCCGGGATACATTGATTTACAAATTAATGGTAAGTAATAATGTTTATGTGGAATATGGATCGTGTGACATATGTTCAGAAGATCTTGGCCATTTTAATATATTTAAATGACGTCTGGGACTTCTGAGATTATCTCCATCTTATTATCATCATCAATCTCTTTCAAGGTGGCTACGGAGTCGATTTTTCATATGATGTGAATACAGTTGAAGCTGGAATAGTTAAAGTATCTCAAGGTTTACTTGCTCATGGTGTTACAAGTTTTTGTCCAACATTAGTGACATCACCAACCGAAACATATCATCAAGTTTTACCTAAAATAAAAAAAAGAGCTGGAGGAAAGCATGGAGCGACTGTGCTTGGTGTTCATGTCGAAGGTCCATTCATTTCAATTGAGAAAAAAGGAGCACACCCAGCTCACTGCATTCGTGAACTTGACGAAGGATTCAAAACTGTTGAGGAAGTTTATGGCGACTTAAGCAACATTTCCATCATAACACTGGCGCCGGAGAAGCAATGGGCGCCGGAAACAATCGACGAGCTAGTGAAACGAGGCATAACAGTCTCTCTTGGTCACTCTATGGGTGACTTGAAGCATGGAGAAACTGCTGTGCAACATGGAGCCACTTTGATAACACATTTGTTCAATGCAATGCTGCCAGTAAGTTCATCATAAAATGAGATTATTGACTCTTAACTCTTCACTTTTGTGACAGTTCCATCATCGTGATCCAGGTCTTGTTGGATTGTTAGCTTCAAGTGAGATTCCTGAAGGAAGAAATGTTTTTTTCGGAATTATTTCTGATGGAATTCATACGCATGCTGCCGCTCTTAGAATTGCTTATCGAACTCATCCAAATGGATTGATTTTAGTCACTGATGCTATTTCTGCTATGGGCTTGGAAGAAGGAATGCATCGAATTGGTCAGTTTTCAATTGAAGTTCGTGATAAGAAAGGTTACATTGCTGGAACGAATACTCTTTGTGGATCTATTGCACCGATGGATGAATGTGTGAGAATCTTTAAAAGAGCCACAAACTGCTCACTTGAGTTTGCACTTGAAGCTGCTTCACTTCATCCAGCAAAATGTCTCGGAATCTCTGATCGTAAAGGAACACTCAATTATGGAACTGACGCAGATTTAATTTTGATGGACGATGACATGAACATTCATTCAACGTGGATTGCTGGTGATTGTGTTTATGAAATAGACGAGCATTCCATGCCTAACGTGTCAACGCAATCGGTTGAAAATTACTTCTAATGTTCATTGATATAATCTCGATGAATTTTAATGAGCTGTTCAAAACATTCTTATTTCCTATGTTTATTGAAATTATACAATGTTTCATTAAATATTTTTATTTTCTAGAAAAATAAACTTTTAATTCGAATGCAATTCAATTTCATTCGTTTCATTCTTCTTGAGTTTAATAACCAAGTAATGTTCCAGATACATTTTGTGATGCTTACATCAAATTATCTGTATGAATTTTATACTTATGTTTATATTTTATTTATGCTTTTTTTCATAATCTCAACATATACAACTTGCTAATTTAATTTAATCTATAATACTAAAGTGATGTTCAAAGTTTTTAAATTTGCTTCTGCGAAAACTTTTCTTTAGTTAAATATTTAATCACGATTTATTAATTAATTTTGATCACAACTGCACACTGCGGAATCGTCAAACGATATTCATTTACTCAATTTTCATTTCCGATTCCAGTTTTTATTTAAGTAGTAAGAAAATCATATAGCTTTGTGATGAAAAGTGGACTTGTTTGTGTTCTTTATTAATTTTCTTTTATGGTTGATGAAATATAAAAGTTTTTGATGAAAACTTCTCATGGAATTGAACTTCATCAGATAAGACTTACATAAGAAAGTTTTTAATTTTCCCCTTAAAAATGTCTCGCATTGTTGTAAAACTTGAAATGAGATTAGAAAAGTTGAGCGATGAACAAAAATTTCCTGCTGAAACGTTTCCAAACAATTAAGATTAAAGAAGTGAACAGCACTGCGTTCTACAGGAAAGGGTGAAAATCACAAGATTTTTAAAAGAAACTTTCTGACAAGAAGCTTTATTATAAAGACTAGGCGCTATCGTTATATTTTATAAGAAAAGGGATTATAGCCTTAAGCGTAGGGAATTGTGTAAATGAATAATTAATTTTTATCAAAGTTCGTGTTGCAAGTTATTTTGTTGCATTCTTAGCGCTTCAGTGTCAGGTTATGTGGCAAACATTAACAAATGTTCCATTTTATTAAAAGATTATAGAAATCTACCTTAATTTTAGTAATTACAACTTTTAGCTTTATTATTCTTGGAGCCTAAGCCCACATAAACGATTCATGAGAGATTGAAAACGCTTTTCCCAGTATGAGTCGTGTTTATATTTAGAATGCTTTAGAAAAGTTTCCTAATCATGAAAATCTTTATTGACTAGAAGATTAATTATTATGTTTATATCTTTATTTTGTACGTCCTGAGATATATTGGTGTTCATCTGTATTCTTCTCTAGATTGCTTTCCAATTCCGATTAACTACATTGTTGAACGAAAACAACTTGAAAAGCATTCCAAAATTTCCTCCATTCATGTTACAAGTAAAAATTTATTTATCCACTTCATCTTCACTTTCCTATTTTGTTTCGTGAATTAATGGCAAGGAAAAATGTTTCGTCCAAATTTTCTAATCACGAGAAGTGTAATTAGTTTTATGAAAACATTTCAGTACACACAAGTACCTAATTTAGACCTTAAAGATAAGTAAAAAGAGAGTTTTTTCTTCTGGAAATCAAAAACAGAAAAAGCTTATGATGATCCTTTTAGAGTTCCCTATAAATAAACAATTATGAAATTGTCAACCTTCATGAAACCTCTCGTTAACTCTAATTGAATTGACACTTTTATAATTTATTCATCAACTCCCAAATCACCTCAAATTAAGAGCATTTAACTTCCTTAAAAGATTATTGAAAGCTTAAAGAAAGAAGAAAAAAATGGAATTTCTTCCAAAAGGTTCTTGAAATTACGTTTTAAAAGAAATCTTTCCTTGCATTTCTATGAAATTTTGAAATGAAAATGATATCAGAAATCTTATATATGTGAATGATGAGATTACGTATGAATGAATAATTTAAAATCTCTCAAAAGATGAAAACTGAATAGTATTGAAAAAGTGATGGTCCATCAATGAATGAAGAATAAATCTTTGAAATGAAAATTCCATTGACACTGTCATGTTGTGAGCTTTGAAATTCGATTAGAGATAGTAGAATGAATTCAAAGACTACTGATAAGGCAAAAATCATCAATTTCATGACCTTTTTGAGGGATCGTAAATGTTGCTTTTTTAAATAATTCAATTTCAGACGTTTCAAGTACTCACAAAGAATAGAAGTTCTTGAAAAAAAAATTCCTGGCCTTTTTTCCAAAAGGTTTGTAAGGATTATGTCAAACAATATATTGAAAAGTGCTCACATTAGGATCAAAAATCATGCGTGGCTGGAAACACATACAGTGTTTTTTCAATGATTTTCTTTTTCAATCTTCAAACACTAAAAATGAACAAAGAAAAACAATTGAATAAGTAGAAAAACTACTTAAATTGAATAAAGTTTTTTTTACAAAGTTTCTCTAGATAATCAATTATTTAGTTGTAACTTTAAACTTTCACATTCATTGGTATCAAGTAATCACGTTAATTGCTTCTGAAGCAGGTACTTAAAACAATTTATTCATGACAAAATGAATATTTAAAGCGTTGTTACTGGTGCAATTCTTTATTCCAAGGATAAACGAAGCACGAACTAAAAGTTGTTACATTTTAATAAAAAAACAAGTGTGTGTATAAGTAAAAAAGAAATCAGATAAAATTTCATTTTTCAAACACAATAAACTTAAAGTAGATTTGTATTAAATTTTATTTAAAGAAATATTTTGTATCCATTGAAAGAAGCTTTAATAAAGAAAAGTGAGTTCATATTGAATTTCATTTCTCTTTCCCTTCTCTGATCAATGGAGAACATCTACTTCAAACAAAGAAGTGATAAAAGAAAAGGAAGAAAATTTTCAATTGAAATTTGCAAACGCAATTGGAAATCTCATTCATGGTAAGAATATTTCCGTCGACTTTATTTGTTTCAATTTCCGAGAAAGTTCTGTCATGACTCATGAAATTACTTTTGATTGATGAACAAAATTCTTCATGAGAGTATTCAGCATCGAAATGATTTCTCGGACTCAGAATTTAGATTTGAATTGAGTGTCAGTATTAGCATTAGCTGAGAGACAGCAGTTGAATACTAAAATAACTAAGTTAAGGAAGTATGTTGTGAAAACAAGAAAACAAATTTTACTCGATAAATTTGTTTCTTTGAAGTTAAGAAACTTTTTTTATATAGAAAATTTCAAAACAAATCGTCGTTAATAAATTAGTTAAAAGGAGCCTTGAAACTTAAATTCCCTACTTAAACATTAAACACAATTAAGTCACAAAAGAATCCTTTAGAATTAATGAAAAAAACTTATCTCCCAGAATAAAACTTCTGAGCGTAAAATTATGTAAATTTCTTATTTATGCTTAAATAGAACAATAATGTTATTGTCCCAAAAGAAAAATAAAATTCTGAGCTTTACTTGCACTACGATATATTCAAAAAGCACAATCAGTTTCTCTGGAATATGTTTTAGGTTTTTAATTTTATAAAATATCAGATTGATGTCATTTAGAAATACATATCTACTTAAGTAAATATGTTGACAGAAATTACTCAACATCTGCCAAGCGGAGCTTGAAATATTTTCTGATTGTAGTTTCCTTATCTTTCTTTGGTTTTCATTACACAGTTACTTAAATTAAATGGGTAGATACTAAAGTTTATTTGTTGAAGTGAAGGTGTGAAAATTTTTTGCTACACTATAGAGTTGGACGTAGAAAATTTTATTTCTGCTTCATAACCATCGGAAATTATTGTAGAACAGCTTCTGCCTTCGTATCAGTTATCTAACATCATATAAATAATGCCATTAACTTTATTTTTCTGCAGCTAATTTTGCTGAAATTTAATACAATTTGCCTACGCAACTTTTTTGGACAACTCATGTATCGAATTTCCTGATACAACGAAGACTTTCATTAATTTTCATTACACTTTTCTCTCGCAATGGTATTGAATTGAAAAAAATCCTTTTTTCAAAATTATTAACTTTTTAAAACAAATTCGATGGTCAGATATACCTACAAGTTGAATAGAAGATAAATTTTAAATCATAAAATTAATAAAAAAAAAATCGTTAACATATGTTGACATCATGAAACCAAATCATGGAGTATCTAGTTGGTATGTGGTGAAAATAAACTTACAATTTGCGTTTGAGGTTAACAGCTGAATAAATCCATTTTTCCTTTGGGAAACAAGATAACGATTGTGGTTTTATCGAAACAGTTATTTTATTTCACCTGCACAGCACGAACAAAAACTGGATTGAAAATCGATAATGTTTTTAATTGATCTTTATCAGAATTGATTGATTATTTATAGATAAATTATGGTTTCCATGAATAATGAATAAGATTGTTAGGTTTAGCACTTTTCAAATATTTTTTTTTTACTCGAGGAGATATTTATTTTTCAAATATCTTTAAAAAACTGACAAAATATATTGTGGAGAGAAAGCACCGTATTCAACCCGATTCAGTCACTTGTTGCAAGAGAAATGAGTTTTTTTATTCGCTTTTCTTCTTTGATACGAGATATCAGCTGCGAGATATCTACACAAAAATAATGGTAAGCTTCAAGAGAAAGAGAGATCTTTTTCACAGGATGATATTTAAGTTGATTGCCAGAAGGAAAATAAAATGAAATGCTTGAAAATTTTCTTTTCAAGAGCTTTTCCTGTAACTTTTCATTGTCATGCGCATTGAAATACTTTTAAAAAATGAGTAATCTAAATATTCATTGTCATCAGCAATGAAAATAATTGTCATTTCAATAATTACGAGAACATGATTATTTGTACATGCAATCGTTATGGTCCATTAAAAAGAAAAATTTTAATACGTTTCAAACACATAAACCTGTCATAATTCGTTATAAGAGATCTTCTTAATGATGAATGAATATGCTAGCCGCTTCATTCTTCAACATTGCTCGTGTTTTCTCATTCATTGATAAGAAACCTTTTTTTACTGTTGAACTTTGAGCTTACGTTTAGAACACATGATAGCTTTGTATAAGTTTAAGCTAATCATATCGAAGAATACAACCATTTTAATAAAATATAATTGAGAGTCATCAAAATGCGTCACAGAGTTCAGAGACATCTTTTGTAAATAAATATTATAAATTTCTTTTTAACGTGTGATCACACAATAAATATCATTTACGTTATTACTTATTATGCGAATAGAAATAAAATATACATCTGATTACTTTATTTATAAATAAGCCTTAATCACTCGTCTTCATGTCGTTGATGAATCTTTTCTAACCTTTCAGTATCTCGTGTAATTGTCTTTTTTTCAAGTGCGAGTGAAAGTTATCAAATTTCCGTACATTAACATTATGCTAAATTTATTTGAGAGAATGAGTAATTTGACTCTTATTCTCACCATAGCTTAACTTTCCTACTTACTAACTTAATAACTAATTACAACTCCTTATCTCGCTAACCCGGCACGTTCTAAGTGAACTTTAAAAGACTGAACTACACTAAATGTATAAAATCTTAAATTTCTTGTCTTAATTATTTGACTTAATTGCTATTTTCAATTATCAGTGTCGTATGAATTAAAATAATTGTTATTTAAAATAAAATTAAATAGAAATACTATTCAACGTATACGTATTAACTCTTATTTATTGACGTAAGGAAAACAATTTAATTCAGGAAAAAGAATAACAAAAATTCCTAATCTCTTAAGAAGGTTTTAAGAATCATATTACTCGCTAAAATCACTTCCTCGTTAATTTTTCTAAGATATGTCAAGCGGTGGCTCGTTTTTAAGTATGTAATCACATAAGGCCTTTTGAACTATAAAAACAATAACATTATTCACTAATGCTTTGATTTCGGCTAAAAGTGACACAACATTCTTGTTAAAATACGCAAAATACTATTCAAGTTCTTAAATTTACGTCAAAATATGTGAAATGTTTTTCTGGAGGCTCGTTGTTGTGTACAAACTTAAATTATCACTTACATACACAACAAACAACATCCGACATTACCGCACTCTTCAAGCTTCTGGAAATTTTATGGTTTCTTATGTTATAGTCTACATCAATAATTATCGAGCTTTGATGAATATCGTAATTTAAGATGAAACGAAAAAATAATAAGAAACTTTATCTTTTAAGGTCGGAAGAGTTCGTACATCGATACATTATGTGTAACAAATTATCAATGAAGTATTTTAAGCTTGTTAATTAGGATAATCCAATAATGAAAAAAGGTTTCAAGTTGCATTAAATAAATTCTCATAAACCACATAGTAAAACAACAAAATAATGTTTCTTTGTAACTACTAAAGTAATCGATAGTTGCTGAATGAATATTTACTGTAAATTTTATTGAGTAAACTTGCTGTTCTTTCTAAAACAAAGCTCTCAATTTAAAATACATACAAAAGAAGAATCAAATCATCAAAAATTTCTTTTTTATTCTTTCCTGTTTAGTTTAATTCAAAATATATTCAGAAAAACATCGTTCGTGCTTCATTGCCTGTAGACATAAGCGTCTATCTTCCTTTTGAATGGTGGCCTGATGATATTTTGAATTTTCAAGATTTTCGAAATATCTACTTAACATAAATAAGGAAAATCATTATATAGATAAAAGTCTTAAGATGATAATCATTAAATAATTTCGTTGACCTTTTTTATTATTTAAAAAGAAAATATTTATAATACATAAAAATAATTTGTATATAATTATGCTTAATTATTATATGTCATATGTACGTTATTTCTAAGTATTCACTTGACTCTTCTTTATTTTATTATTGTATGTACGTAGTTTTCTTTCTCAACTTTCTTTGTGTGAGTTTTTGAACGTTACTGCTTTTCCCGCTCATGTCTACATCTATAAAGACTCAAATCACGAGAGAATACTAATTAGTTTGTTGCCGGGAGTTAAGACGAGAACATCGTGAATCAAGTTGAGATAATTATAAGCCTTAATTGAAACACGTACAAATTGTTGATAATAAAAAGTGTAATATTTTGAATAAAAATCTGAAAAAAATAAAAAAAAATAAAACAAAAAATAATAAAACGTTATGGCGATGGTGGATTTTTTAACGAATAAAGATACTGAAAATTCAGAAGCAGCAAGCATAACAAGCCATTTTATAAAAACTACAATCAGAAGTTTATTTTTCCCATCATCTTCATCGATCACTTCAGAGCAAGAGAGTGAAAATGACCACAAACTTAAACATATTTCATTAGAAGAAGTTTCCGATCATGACTGTTCAGACGATTGTTGGATCATTATTTATGATCGTGTCTACGACGTAACAAACTTTTTAAGTAAAGTGAGTGCAATAACTACCTAAATATTTATGAAACAAACTTTTTTAAAACATAAAATGAATTAAACAAAAAAACAGTTCTCAAAACCTTTCGAATATTCACAAAGCTTTTGAAATAACTTGAGAATGAACCAAAGTTTTTTTTGCGTTTGTTTTAATCATTGTTAATCTCTGAATAAATATTTTGACTTCTTGGCAACCTTTTAAAAATGAATGTCTATGACTTTTGAGTTATAAATTAAAATTGCTNTCCCTACACGACGCTCTTCCGATCTAAAATGAATTAAACAAAAAAACAGTTCTCAAAACCTTTCGAATATTCACAAAGCTTTTGAAATAACTTGAGAATGAACCAAAGTTTTTTTTTGGGTTTGTTTTAATCATTGCAATTGTTAATCTCTGAATAAATATTTTGACTTCTTGGCAACCTTTTAAAAATGAATGTCTATGACTTTTGAGTTATAAATTAAAATTGCTAATTGACAAGCTCAATAATGAATAAATATCAAATGTTCATCCTCTACCGTAAAAAATCTTAATTAATCTAACATGTCGAAGTGCTAGCAAATGGCAAAAATGGCAAGACATATTACATAGTAACTGAAACAAACTTGAACATTAGAATTTGTTAATTTATTTCATTTAATTTATTCTAAATAGCATCCTGGAGGTGATAACGTATTTATGGAACATGCCGGAAGGTAAATAAGTCACAAATTGTTTTGATATTTTCATAATTATTTCAACTTTCAGAGATTGCACAATCGCTTTTCGGGGTCATTCAAATGACGCGGCGCAGTTATTGAAAACGTATGAAATCGGAATTCTTCCACCACACGAACGAATTTACCGTTGGCCAGGAATGATAAGAATATCAGAATCAAAACCGGAATAGAAATTTCAATATTGTACGTTTGAGTTAACAGTTCAACAGTGTTATCGACTATTCTCGCCATGGATCATCATGAAAGTGATCAACAATTCATTAATTGGTTGAAAAGTGAGCATGATGCTTCTATTACTTAATTGAGATTACAACCAGAAAAGTGAAGAGAATCAGAAATATCTGTAAATACATTGAAATTTCTCATTAAGATCGCTATACAAATTATTATCTTTTCAAGAATTTTAAGATCTGTCGCACTAATGTCTACCAGTATTTAAATTATTCTTGTTTCTACTTATAATGAATAAATTTTAGTTAATATCCGTTTTATTTTATTTATGAATTGAAACATTTATTTTTATTGTTGTTGTTATGCTAAGAATAAAAAGAAAAAAATTTACATTCATGAACTTATGTTTCATATCATAACTCGGGCTCAATCAAACTGTTACATGAACTTCCTTCAATTCACAATCATCTTTGCATTCGTCAGCACCGTTGCAAATATCACACAACGAGATTTCTGGAGGATTGTAGAAATTCGTTGCACGGCGAGCTTTAAAGAAAATTAATCATTAAATAGAAACTTTGCAAAAGATTTTTTTTTCCTTACAATTATCATAATAATCATAAATGATGACGGGTGCTGGTTTTTGTTTTGCAACACTATGAACGCGATAAGCCTTGAATTCCGGACAAATCATCTTGTCACTTAAATTGTCAAAATAAACGACTACGACTGTTTCTTCGTCTTTTGTTTCAACTTTCTGTTTTGAGAAAAAATAATTCATTAAAACTTTAATTATTTCAAGTAATATCAATTACCTTTACTGTCTCAGTTGCTTTCAAAACTGGTGTTGTATCAGTGTCGAAAGTAAACCCACTAGGGAAAGTCACTTCCATAACTGCCATGTTCGATTCTTTTGTTAAATCATCAGGAACGAAGCTTGTGCATACTTTGAGATGTAGAAATTCTTTATTGGAATTTGGCTGAACTTCTGGTTTTAAAATGAATCGAGGAACATTGTCTGTGATATTCATATTGTATTTGTAAGATAATTGAAGAATGCTTAATCCGTTTCCAGTAGCAGTAATTTCAAAATCTCTTGCATTAACTGGAAGTTCATGTTTCTGGAGTATTAGACCATTTTTCTCATTGAGGGTTATGTTGACAGAATCTCCATTCTTCTGTCGTATGTTGATGTCAATGTTGTTATTTGGTGTGTAAACTTTCGCTGCTAACTTTGAAAGAGCCTGAAGACCAACAACAGTGTCTTGTGTAGAGTGGAACCCTCCATTCTCATTTCTCTGTCTCACTAACCAATTCATAATAACAAAACATTCGTTTTCAAGTCCAGCTTCAATGAATGAATGAAGTGCGTAAGCAGACATCTCGACATTTACTGAGTTTGGTTGATATGACCATTCATCGATGTCTTCTTCTTTCGTTTCTTTTTTCTCCCAATGTTTTAAACCTTCGTTATTAATTGATCTTGCATCAAGTTTTGCAAGTAGGGAATCTTTCATAGCATGCTTCGCTAATTGCAATGCATAAGATGTGATAGCAAGTGAATAATTATCATCCAAACTGTCGATGTTGTCGATGATATATTTCAAAGCTTTGTCTATTGTAGTTTGGTAATTTTTTAGGAGTTTTTCATTTTCCAAGAAAGTTATTAAAGTGTAAGCTGTCAAACCAATTCCATTTGACGCTCCACCTTGCATATCTTTATGTGAAACATGTCCAAGCTCTAAGAACCGTCCATTACTTTGTGCAGAAGATAAGAAGTCCAAAGCATGTTTAATAATATTTTCATCTACATTAATATATTTTGACGCTTTATTAAATGATCTGGCAACGAAAGCTGTTAGCCAAGTGCTTCCTATTGGATCGCTTTTTCCAAATGCACTATAAGAACCATCATCATGTTTATAAGTTAACTCTCGTTGATATCCTGACTCCATATATCTTTTTGCTTTTTCTTCAATTTCTGGTGTCAATTTGTTCAATTCTGTCAAATAATCCAAAACAACGATGTTTGGAACAAAATTCAACATGTTTTGTTCTCCACAACCCCAAGGAAGCTTGCTAAAAATTTCATTAAGATTAAGCTAAAATTTTATAATAATAAATAAAATAACTTACATTAATTTATCCAAGTTATCAATTGATGGTCCTAAGATATCACCAATAGCTGAAGCTTCAATTCTTGTTGAGTCAGGAACTGCTTTTAAAGGAACTTTTAGATAAGCATGAGTTTGGAATTCAGAACTATTTCTAAGATCTATTAAAATTGCTTTGTTCTTGTACTGAGTGACACCTTCTGGTTCAACGATTAACTGTCTCTCAACACCATCACCAGCAATTGGTGAAGCTACAACGACCTTAATTGTGATGTGTCCTACTTTTAATGGTTTGATCATAAATGAAACTGAGGTTCCAGCCTGACTTTTTGCAATTATATTCTTTGAGCGCTGACATTCTAATGATCGTCTTTTTCTCTTCTGAGTTGTCCCTTCATGGTGATTGATTTCAGCGAATTCAAATTCACCATCTTCATTGAATAATGTAACTTCTGTTTTCTGATCGTCACTCAAGTAGTTGAATACAATGACTGGAATTGATACGACTTCACCACGCTTGATTGAATAAGGCAGATTCGTTGAAACAAAGAACGATTGGAAAACTGTCAGCTTCGATGGATTTTCTGTCAGTCCAAGTCCAAATATGGGATCAACAGCAAAGCCTGTGATGATCCATGAGGTGATTGTATCAGGAACTTTCTTTGAAATTCTGGCATGACTCGTGCTGTAGGGAATAATATTTTTAACTCAATGAAAAACTGAACCGAATGAAATATGTAAAATTGAATTACTTGGAATCGAAATTGAAATTGTCAAATATCCACGTTTCAGGGAAAGTTTTTCTTATTATGATAGGAACTCTAGATGCAAAACCTCCTTCTTGTGACACTCCAACAGCTTCTGCCATTGGTGGTGCATTGTATACCATATCATTGTCATATTCTATTCCAACTCTATCCAAGTCTTCTCCATAATCGGGAAGATATTTTTCATCTGTGAATAAATATTTTAAATATTCAATTCGTTTTAGTGACTAAGTCAAAAATATTGTTATTACATCCTTCTGGATTGGCATTAGTAATTAAAGCTGTTTGTGAATATTGGAAGTCACGGTAGAATTGATAATCTTCACCTTCACGCCATACATCGTTATATGCGTTTTGGTCATTATATGCTTCAATTTCATCTAGCACCGTTGAGTTTTCAATGTCGTTTCCTTTTTTAAGTAACAAAACACTTTGATCTACACCTAATAATCCAATAAATGAATTTGATTTTGAACTGATTTCGATGTCCAAGTTTGCACCAGGCTTAGTTTGTTCCTTTGATAAAGAAATTTTTACAAAGTTTTCGAGTTTTCTGTCTAAGTTGAAATTAATTGCATCAGAAATAATTTCGCCATCGTTTTCTACAGCATAAACGAGAATATAAACATTTGAAGACATCTGCAACGTCGGCATTAATTCAAATTGAAAAATTTTCGTTTCGGGCAAAGAAATGGTTTGCGACTCTAAGATGTTTCGATTGCTTGATATTAAATATGTTACGTTTTCTACATTTTTCGTTCCAAGAATTTCAATTTTAATTGATTCAGAAACTTTTGGTCTGAGAAAAAATGAATAAAATATGGATTTTTTGTCATGACTCAAAAAAAGTTTGACTTACTTTGTTGTCAATAATCGAACTTTAAGATATTCTTTGTTTTTACTATATCTAAGCGTAATGTATTGTCTGGAAGCTTGATCTTGCAAATATTTCGCATAGATATCAAGTTGTGATGTATTTGAAGGAATATCAATGTCAATCTTAGCAAAGCCATTTGACAAAAAACTTTTTTTTGTGATTGTATAGTTATGTCTTTCACGACATTCATATGTTGGTATTGTTGTTGTCTCCAATGCTGAATTATTATATTCAGGATGATGTAAAAAATGTCCTGGTGGAAATTCACATAATCTAGGGGTGAAGTAAGAATAAATAATATCAAATTTCACGGGATTATGTGTATCTGAAACTGGGACACTTTTATCATGAAATTTCACATTTGCAGTTGCACTGAAAGGCATTCCAGGCTTAATCTCAGTGTCGCTCGTTTCGATGTTAATTTCATAGGGCGTTAAATGAATAAAAACTTTTGCTGATGCATTTTGCTCACGGCCTGTCATTTCTTCTTTAAATGTAACAAATAATTCAACATCTCTTCCATCATCTTTTTTCAAGCCCAATTCATTAGCGATATCAAACTCTACAACTTTTTTCCCATCAACTTCAATTGCTTTTGATACTTTAATTTCAGGTTGATCATTCTGTGGACTGTAGAACCAGTCATAACTATGATAAGGCATTACACGAGCAGTCACTGTGCCTTGTCCTTTAACAGCTTTTCCAAAAGTATACTTTGCTTTGATTGTGGCTTTTATTTTTCCATCCTTAAAGTTTGCATCAGGATTTGCATCTAATTTAACTTCAAATTTAGGCAATGTATATTCATCCACATCGAAATACTTTTGCGTTTCTTCATTCCCATCTACACTCACGTATAATTTCCAGATTCCCAGAACAGGAGAATCTGAAAGTTGTAGTTCATTTTGAAACACTCCTTTCGTAAACGTTACATCATCGTATTGCTTCACACGATTATTTGCACCGTCCATGATGTGAACTTGAACTTTATGTTTTCTTTCAAGTGGTTTCATATCAGCATTCAAAATGAGAACACGAAATTGAATCTTATCAGACGGCTTATATATTGACTTATCTGTTTGAACCAGAACGGTCTGCTTTTTGGTGTTCATATTTAGTCTTTTAAATTTCATGAACTTTTCGCCTGTCAGTTTCTTAACTTCCAGCTCATACTTTCCTTCTGGAATACCGCTAAGCTGGATGATAATGAAAATTAACATACTGATAAAAGTTTGTTGCAACTGATACATATTTTGAAAAATAAATAATTAAGTAATAATTACATCAAATTCTATGTTTTGTGATTTTCCATTTATCAATGTCACATTATGTGTTTTTTGAAAAACATTACTTTTAACTTCATCAGATGCTAATGATTCTTTGATGGCAATTTGTAAAATTTCTTGTTCATTATAACCTTGAGCTGTTACTGACACATTATAGTGTTTATTTAATTTTATCAAATCTGAACCGATAACAGTGAAGAAACTATGAATGAAATACATTAAATGAGTATTAAGTTGTTATCTCATCTAAGTTTTTACTATCAGTATTAATGTAATATTCAACTTACCCTTTGCATGCAATGAAATCACAAAATGTTAGAAGAAGGAATAATTTAACTGCCTTGAACCTCATCTTGTTAATGAAGAACAAAATTAAAAACCTGATTGAATAATAACTGTCGCCGTTTCGTGTCTTCTTTATTGAACGTCTTGAAAGGAACTAACAACGACTCAGTACAGGTTTCTGTATTTATACAAAATCGAGAACCTAGAGAATATTTCTTGAATCTTCTCAAATCAACGTTTATGTTTAATCACTAACTTCATGTTTGAAGAGCGAAATTTCAGCATTTTAAAAAAAACAAAATACTATTTGTTAGGTATTCATAAATCTCAGCGATAGGAAAGTCCAAATAAAATGTGACATTTTTCGTTCTCAAGAATGTAATGATAGACAAAATTTAAAGTATTTTGCGTCAAAATAAGATTCCCCATGATTAACATTTTTAACTGAGAAAAAAGTAAAGAAATATTTACCTACATGCATGTTATATTATTATTCAGTAGAAACTTCTTATCTGTATTTTAAATTTTTCATAGCTATGAGGTTTATCTAAATGTTTTTATTTTAGAAAGCATCTGATTTGCCATTAATTTAAATTCACATAAATATTATGGAACCATTCTAAAATATGAATACAGCGGACTCTCCCTATAACATTTTACATCATTCATTTTTTCTGTTTTAAAATTTTTTTAAGTAGTAATATTTTCTGTCCTACTTATACTGCTAATTATTTTTGTGATAGCTTATTTAGTGATTATCTAAAATTTGATAATTATAATTCTGAAATAATTATAAGTGTCTGCCTAATTACTTTTTATTGTTATTCATATTTATACGTGAATATTTCCTTAAAAGCTCAAACAAAGAAAAACAATTGTAAACGCTTGAATTGCAAGGAAAAAACTTTTAACTAATTCTTAATACCTATTTATGTCTTCTTATTCGATCTATTGAATCTAATCCACGCACGAAATTGCATTAAATTTTCAAGTTTTCCTTTATCTTGTACACTTCCTGAAACAAATACTTCAAAACAAAGTTTCTGTTCTCTTGGGAAAAGAATCAAAAAATTGTCAGTTATCCTATAGAAACAAAGAAAGTCTACATTGAACATTGCAACTGTTTAAATAAAATTGTTAATGTTCTCACGTAAAGTTTGTCAAAGTGTAAGTTCTAGGCGTCAGAGGACAACTAATCTGAAAGTTAGCTGACGGAGCAAAGTTTTCCATCAGAAGCTTCGCAAAGGTTGATGATTGCATTTTCGCCATCTTGCAGACATCAATGTTTGTTTTGCTCAACTCCCTTCCACATTTAAAAAGCTTTTCCCCTTTGGATGAATCAAGAGATGCTCTCAAAACGAAAACTATCTGAAAAATTTACTTTTCTCAGATTTAAGTTATTAAAAAATTAAACTAATAAATATAAAAAAAATTAACTAATTGCTGACTTTAGCACGCGCTATTCCCTTTTCATATGTTAATCGTGATGTGTAGTTAATTAAAGTTCTCTCAGGATCGGAGTTATCCAATGTTAAATTAAGTTTATTAAATTTTTCGTTTGCCATGTATTCGACATGATCAATTTTAATGTACCCATCCTATGAATGAGAATTGATAAGCTTTATTTTCTAAAACATGATACAACAAATGAAAAAAATACTCACACAAAATACAAATAATAAGAAAATATTTAATAGCAAAATCAACTTATACATTGATCAATGTTAATATGAACGAGGTCGATGACAATTTGTTTTTAATACTACCATTCACTCATGTATATATAGTAATTTATATATTTTAATCTATCATTCTTAATTACTTTATAATTTAACGTGATGGTTTGATAAACTTTAGGTAGTTAAATATTATCATATTACAAATTGTAATCAAATCAGTATTGAAAAAAGTTTAGTAAAGAGTAGCACTAGATTCTATAGAACGTTCTTTATGAAAAAAAAATTATCAACATGAAAATATTTACATCTCTTACCTACCTACCTAGCAGTTTCGAGAACTTTTGTTAAATATAAATGATTTTGGGAAAACTAATGTGGCATAACCATTTGTCCACTTCCATATCTTTATAATTAACAGATTTCTCGAAAAAAGAAGTTCTTCATAAAAATAGTTAAAAATTTATAAATTTCTCATATCTAATTCTAAAATTAAGGCTTCTTCATTCAAAAAGGACTTCTATATCTAAACGTCCTTTATCGTTTTCTTTTTTCTCAAATTTATCAGAAGCAATGATCTTAAACTTTTTAAGAAATCGGTTTACCAGAGTCATCAAACGGTCTCTGATCAGGTATGTCATTATTTATGTCATTGAAATCAAGAAATTGTTATCTAAAACTTAAGAATAATGACAACATCTTCAGGAATTCAAACGATGATTGAAGGTCACATTTTGGAGTATGAAACTTTGAAAAAAAGATTTGAATTCAGAGTTAAAATAACATGCGACAGTTTGATAGGCAAGAAAAAATTGTTATGTTGCTCAACCAGCAACTTTATTTTTTTTTTTTAAAATAGTCGAAGGTGTAGCAGCGAACGAAGCAAACGCTAGAGAAGCAGCAGGAAGCTTGCCTCTCTCTAAATTGAAGAAATGTTTAACAACCAACATTAAAAAAAACATGAAATTTAACAAGCGTGTAGATAAAAATCCTCGTGAAAATTCGAATTCCAAAAGAGAAAGAAATTTTTCGATTTAAACAAGAAAATGGAGCTAAAACATTACATTGGATGTACATATAAGAGAATTTTGCATATTTAAACAATTTAATCAACCTATGAAATGTTAAGCGAATATGGACCAGCTCATGAAAGAAAATTTGTGATCAGCTGTGTTCTAAATATTAAAAATTTTGAATATATGAAGCAATTGGCAAGGGAACATCAAAGAAATTAGCAAAGCACGAAGCAGCAAAGAACCTATTAAAAATTATGGAAGATGAACTCACATCAGAAGAAAATTATTTTCAAATCGACTGAATTGGATTTAGTTTTAGTTATCGACCCCTCGATCAAATATTTCTTAAGAGGCTCATTTCTTACTCAGGTTGTTACTCTGATCGTTGTAAACAAACTTTTGCATTTTAATCGACTGAAAGTTTGCTTTTCCTTTTGTTTCTTACTTTCCTTGGTTAAATATGGATGAAAAAGAGTATGATTGGATAAAAATATAATGATTCTTTATTAAAAAATGTGTAAGATTTAAATCTTAAATGTTAATGTAAAGGATTAAAACATAAAAAAATGGAACATAAGAACAAAAGTTTATTTTTTGCTGAAGATCTTAGTGATATTTTTTTACGAGTTCGACCAGAATTGAAGAATGTTTTTCCTCAAGCTTTTCAACCTGTTGAAGCTGGCTCAATAATAGAAATATCTGGATACTCTGGTTTGTATTTTCTTTGTATACCTTGTATGTTTGTAAATGAATTTTATTTTCTTAAGGTTCAGGAAAAAGTTGTTTTACTTTAGATTTGATTGCATCTACACTGATATCAAACCTTGAAGCGAATAATCCCAAAGTTCTCCTCATAGATACAGATAAGAGTTTAAATATTATAAAGCTTTGTGAAATTTGTAATGATAAATTAACAACAGAAAGTGGCAGCCCGACAGATCTACGAGATCATATTGAGCGACTTCAAATAATGACGTGTGATCGATTGAATTTCTCAAGCATTTTTTCTAAACTTGAAGCGATATTAACAGATGATCCTCAAATATCTTTAATTATTCTTGATAACCTTGGTGTTTTCTATTATTTTCAATCATCTATGAACTTAGAAGAAACATCGACAGTAACAAAAAAGGAGAATTATATCGCATCTTACCTCAAAAAATTTAATCTACTTTGTGAAAAGTTTAAAGTTACATTTGTCTATGTCAAGCCTCATTATATTATGAATCATCGTGAAATTCGGGAAAACTTTACTACACATTCTGTCACTCTTGAAAAAATCGACGGAGAAACATTTTCAATGGATATAAGACAAAAAGAAGAATTCAAAGGAAAATATTTTTATTCAGTGGCCTCCAATGGTTTGAAGTTTAAAGAATGTGACGACAATTGATCTTCACTGTTTAAATATATAGAATAAAAGAATGATTTACATTTTTTACATTTTTGAAAGCATTTATTTATCCACCACCAATATCTAATGTGAAATTGTTAGTAAGTATACAAACTTGAATATGATTCAATAAAGAAAGAAAAAAAAGTTGTGAAAATGTCATTTAATTGCTTAGTTAGCTAGCAGTTTTACAATTTTAATTATGAAAATAAGGTACATACACTTAAATAAAAACTTTCAAAAACTTTAAAAAAAAATCTCCCAACTGTTTTTACCTTTTTTTCTCCAATTTTGGATATATTTTTGCAAATAAAGTGACACGCAGAATTATAAACGAGAGACAAAATCTCTCGTAAATTTTTTTCCTGTGCGTTAAGGAAAAAAGTTCTTCAGCAACTTTGAAGCTATTTTCAATGCTCATTTATGTATATAAGACTTGATTTGAATGTCAAGCAAATTTACATTTTAGAACATTTTTTTTTAAATTCATCAACTTACAGACGCGCATAATTATAAACGAATTTCAAAAAATAATTAATTTTTCGTTCATTTTGTGCTTTATTCTATTTCTGCTTTTAACATTATCTTAAGCATCCAAACAATGGTTTATATGCAAAGATTTAATTTTTTTTCACATCGACTTCAATGTGAATTTAATGATTTGGTAGCTCATGTCTCCTTATACATCAAAACTGTTGTCGGTATCAAAAGACAACACATCAAAATTTCTGCGTGTGGTTTTTTAACAACATATATGTAGGGACTAATAGCCTGTGTATTGCAAAATTAAATATTAAACTTTTAAGAATTTTTTTTGACCAACATGTGATGGGGATGGTAGCCTTACTTCACTTTGTCATTAAATAAAACTGAAAAACTTCTTCATAATGTAACTTCTATTGATTTTAACATATCGACGGAAGTTAGAATAAACATTTTACGCAAATGAAAAAATAGTTGACACATTGTGGTGGAAGAAAATGAATCTTAAAGTACTTCACACCCGTCTCAAAAATATGCGATCTTGGAAATGTGGAAAATAGTGGAAAATTGAAGTGAAATGTTCTGCAAATAATGCTTAAATTTCATTTTCTGTCTTTCAGAATAATTTTCAGAACATTTCACTTCAATTTTCCCCGATTTTCCACATTTCCAAGATCGCATATTTTTGAGACGGGTATGAAGTACTTTAAGATTCATTTTCTTCCACCACAATGTTTCAACTATTTTTTCATTCGCGTAAAATGTTTATTCTAACTTCCGTCGATATGTTAAAATCAATAGAAGTTACATTATGAAGAAGTTTTTCAGTTTTATTTAATGACAAAGTGAAGTAAGGCTACTATCCCCATCACATGTTGGTCAAAAAAAAATCTTAAAAAATTAATATTTAATTTTTCAATACACAGGCTATTAGTCCCTACATATATGTTGTTAAAAAACCATACGCAGAAATTTTGATGTGTTGTCTTTTGATACCGACAACCATTTTTATGTATANATAAAGCACAAAATGAACGAAAAATTAATTATTTTTTGAAATTCGTTTATAATTATGCGCGTCTGTAAGTTGATGAATTTAAAAAAAAATGTTCTAAAATGTAAATTTGCTTGACATTCAAATCAAGTCTTATATACATAAATGAGCATTGAAAATAGCTTCAAAGTTGCTGAAGAACTTTTTTCCTTAACGCACAGGAAAAAAATTTACGAGAGATTTTGTCTCTCGTTTATAATTCTGCGTGTCACTTTATGCTCCGAATTTTCGGAGGAAATCGATAAAAATCAAATTACAAAAACAATCGTAAGAGTCGGATGTTTTGTTTCAAAAGTTCAAGTTCAACCTTAAAGGTAATACACAAAATGTACACTTTAAGTAAGGTTTCTTACAACATCTGCACAATTGCATAAGAAGTTAATATGAATTCATTCAATTTTAAGAACAGTAAAGATTTATAAATTAAAAAGTTTTGAGGAAAACTTTCGTTTTTTTTCCTACAATTTTCCAAAAAAATCTTTCAATCGCAACATAAAAAAATAAATCATAAATTAAATTCCTTGCAAGTGTGTAGCTTGTAAATTATCGATTTCCGCTTCGATAATTATTAAACTGTTCGAACTTAAATTCGCCGATTATTTCTTCAATCGTCCCACAAATTATCCGATGATTTAACAACAGTTTTTTATGCTCTTACATTATACTACACACATAATAACTTTTTAATATGTAAAATAAAATATAATTTTATTTTGTATCTAATCATCCATTTTCAAATTCCAAAATAAATAATAACTTTAAGAATCCAGAGAATAGTACGTAAAATCCTTTACTGGATACATCAATCAACCTTAAATTGTTTTATTAAATTCATAATTTCCAGACATCTGTTTTTGACATCGATAAATATGATTAATGTGAATTATTCTTTCTATCGGTTATATTTTATTTTAGTGAATATCAAGTTATTATGCATTTAGTTAATATTTCTATGTCATTGTGGATAAGTAGATAATAAAGAATGGGAGTTGTTCGTGAATTATCAATTATGCCAATCAAATATTTGGCAAGTTTTAAAATTTTTAAATTTAAAATTTAGTTGAACCAGATTTTCTTTTACCTTTAAAATTTTTAAAACCTTTTTTTCTAAAACATTCATTTTAATTGTAATTTTCAAATAACTCCCTTACCAAATTTTCTTGTAACGATAGCGTAAAAATTATGATTTGTAGCATGTTGAACGCTCAGCAGTAAAATTAATTTTTTATGGGTTTCATACAATGGGAACTCTATCAACCTTGATGATTTCTGAAAAATCTTTACAAAAATTTTCAATTATTATTGCAATGACATTTTTATTATTCATTTACCCACCATTTCACTTGTCTGCTGAAGAAAATCTTTAATTATTTTTTAAAAAAATATCCAATCTACCATGGTTTACTTTTTCGTCATAATTTTCAAGTACTCCAAAGCATTCTTGGCAGCATCTTTGTTAGCGTCTTTAGATGTCTGTCCTGATCCTTGACAAACAGCTACTGGCAGTGTCGATAGTTGAACCAGACATTGGGAACGACCAGAATAAGTTTTCTCTTCAATATCAACGTAAGTTACTTCGAATTTATGTTCATTAGCAATTTCTTGAAGAAAAGCGACATAATTTACATCTTTATTATTGAGACACATGTTCTGCAATAATAAGAAAATATTATTACCATCATAGTCCATAAAAGAATTAAATAAAATGTTTGTCATTTTTTTTTAGAGAACCTGAAGTTTGGCCAGAGACTTTCCATATGTGTTCTTAAGTACTTTATGGAACTGCGAGACTTTAAAGCTGTGTTGATTAGTGAGCGTCGGAATGTTGGCTTCCTTTAATTCAGAATAACGACTTAAAATGTTGGCGATTCTCATCTAGAGTAGTAATTAAGGAGACACCGGAAGATGTTCGTAGAATGATAATTGAAAGATTCAACAAATGAAACGAAAACAAGGACATATACAATGAAAACATTTTGGTGAACCTTTCAACCATTTCATGAGAAGCATTTCCAGCATCTTTATATGCCATCACCAACATGATGGATCAAAACAATCAAAGTGTAAGCCCACATCCACTCCCACCATAATTGAAAGATTCTCCAAAATGACAAAGACCCATCATGTTTGAAAGCAAAATAACAATTCACTCACCTCATCATTGGCATCATCAATACATGACTGAACAACATCCGCTTGATCCATAGGTTGTGACTGCAAACGTTCCCACATTTTCTGAGCTGCTTGGCGCTTAGCAATTTTCTTCGATTTTCCCATACCAACTTCTCGAAACTTCAATACCAGACATCCGATGGTAAATTGCCGTTCATGAGGCAAACCTACTTCAACTTCAACTTCATATTGAGGTGGTGGCCAATGCTTAGACATACAGAATTCTTGCAAAACTCCTATCGGGTTTCCCATTTGATTTTTTTCATCAAAATTAGTGCTACTGGAAGAAGTATTAAGAGCTCCACCAGATCCATTACTAGCGAAACTCTTTTGTTGTTGATAAAAGGTATCAGAGAGATTAAGTCCAGTTAGCTTGTCAATGAGAGCCTTTGCAGCAGCATGTTTAGCTTCTTTCTTACTCCTCCCGACACCCATTGCTATATAAATAACATATTTAAACTTTGTCAATAATGTAGTGATTTTTATTCAGTCTCACCATCTTTATCATTGAAAGATACTCGATAACGGAAACTGGGTTCATGAACAGCTCCTTCAATCTGAACTAACTCATAGTTGGGAGTAATACCTTTAATAAAACAATAAATTTCAAATTTCATGAACAGAAAAGGTTAAGAAATTGTCATTGCAAAAATCGATAATTCTTTAAAATGTCGTTACCTCTTCGACTAAGGAGTTCTTGAAGAATAGAAATTGGAGTCTTCATTGGCATATATTCAATTTCATTTTTTAAAGAATTAATTGTCTCTTCTATCGTAGCTTCAGCTTTAAGCTGTGGCTGTTTTTTAACTCGTTTTGGCCTATTTTGACGATTTGGTTGCTGTTGTGTTTGTTGACCGAGAACAGTTACTGGCTCCTGGATATGCATTTGTGCTCGCATTTGCTCTTCGAGCGTGATTTCCTGCATTTTTAATTCACACAACTATTTTATTCAACTTTATAAAATTTTCACTTTTTAAAGAATCAAAAACGGTTCAAAATTGTCAGACAGACAGAAACGACAGAAAAGGTTTTAGTTAAAGTTAAGCTAACTTTTTTCGAATGATTTTGCAACATTTTATTTGCTTGAGTATCCTACGTAGAAAACTCTCCAGTATTGTTAAAAGAATATCAAGAAAAATTTCTTTTGAAAAATTCGAAATGGCACCAATGTTGACTTATCCAGTCGCTCGTCGTGAAGAAATCAAGGAAACATTTTTCGGAAAAGAGGTTTTTAATTTTTTTACCATTTGTCGGCAAAAGGATATTCCATTGAAACTTTACTTTTTGTTAACCTAAGGTCAATGAATATTATCGCTTTCTCGAAGATCCTGATGCTGAAGAAACTAAAAAGTTTGTTGATGAAAACAATGCTGTTACGAAGCCATTCCTCGAGGAAGGTGATACTTGGAAGATAATAAATCAACGGCTTACAAATTTGTGGGAATATGAGAAGTTTGGATGTCCAGGAAAGCATGGTTCAAGATATTTTTATTCTCATAATACTGGATTACAGAATCAAAATGTCATCTATTATCAAGAATCATTAAATTCTGAACGAAAAGTTTTCATTGATCCGAATAAGTTATCAAGTGACGGGACCATTGCACTTCAAAGTTTACACTTCACAAAAGACGGTTCATTGCTTGCATACGGAATTAGTGAATCAGGATCTGATTGGGTGAAGATAAAATTCCGCGACGTGGAGAAGAATCAAGATTTTCCAGAGACACTTGAAAACAGTAAGTTCTTTCGTCCAACATGGACACATAATAACAAAGGAGTTTTCTACGGTCGTTTCATGATCAAAGATGGAAAAGCTGATGGATCTGAAACCTGTGCTAGTGAGAACCAAAAAGTCTATTATCATCGTATTGGCGAAAGTCAAGAAAATGATATTCTTGTTGCTGAGTTCCCCGACGAACCCAATTGGAGATTCTCAGCAGAAGTTTCTGATTGTGGAAATTATCTTGTCTTTTTCGTTATGTTTGGTTGTAATGATCAGTTGTTATATTTTGCTGATTTAAGAAAAACACCAGAAATTAATGGAAAACTCGAATTTACTAAAGTCGTCACAAAATTTGAGTCTGACTATGACTACATCACAAACGAAGAGTCTGTCTTTTATTTTAGAACGAACAAAGGAGCTCCAAATTATCGAGTTATTGCTATTGACTTCAATGCACCAGATGAAGCAAATTGGAAAACTTTCATTGAGGAACATCCGAAAAACGTTCTGGACTGGGTTTATTGTGTCAACAAAAACAAACTTGCGCTGCATTACATGGAAGATGTTAAGTCAGTTCTTCAAATCCACTCATTAGAAAGTGGAAGGTTTGAATTTAAATTTCCACTTGAACATGGAACTATTCAAGGATTCAGTGGTGATAAGGACAGCAGTGAAATATTCTATCATTTTGTGTCTTTTCTTATTCCCGGTGTTATTTATCATTATGATTTCTCAGTATCACCAACTGAGCCAGTAATTTTTAAAGAAGTGAAAATTGCAACAAATTTCAATCGAGATAATTACACGATAGAACAAAAATTCTATCCAAGCAGTGCTGATGGTGAAAAGATTCCAATGTTTATTATCAGAAAAAAAGGAAAAGAAATTAAACCACAACCGTGTTTGTTGTATGGCTATGGCGGCTTTAACATTTCAATTCAACCGAGTTTCAGTGTGACATTGTTAGCATTTGTTGATCTATTTGATGGTGTTCTGGCTTATCCTAATATACGTGGAGGTGGAGAATATGGAGAGAAATGGCATAACGATGGCCGTTTGCATAAGAAACAAAATGTCTTTGATGACTTCCAATCAGCTGCCGAATATCTTGTCAAGAATAATTACACTCAAAAAAGTCAATTGGCGATTCAAGGTGGATCAAATGGAGGATTACTTGTTGGTGCTTGTATCAATCAGCGTCCTGATTTGTTTGGAGCAGCAATTGCACAAGTGGGAGTTTTTGATATGCTTCGATTCCATAAATTTACAATAGGATCGGCTTGGATTAGTGACTTTGGATCACCCGATGAAGAAGTACATTTTCATAATTTACTGAAATATTCGCCTCTTCACAACGTTCACACACCAAAAAATGAAAAAGAAGAATATCCAGCAACATTAGTATTGACAGCTGATCATGATGATCGTGTTTCGCCATTGCATTCATTGAAATTTGTTGCATCACTTCACGAATCAATTCGTCAGTCAACATATCAGAAGAATCCAGTCATGTTGCGTGTTTACACAAAATCTGGTCATGGCTTTGGAAAGCCTGTTAGTAAGAGAATTGAGGAAGCAACCGATATTCTTACGTTCCTTTATAGAACTTTGGATGTTAAAACCGAATTGTCTTAAAAAAATTATAATTTTCTTCTTCTTCATTTGTTTGAAATTATTAAAATTTAATTATTCGCATGAAAATAAGTATACTCAAGAAATAAATATATGAATAAAAGTGTTTAATATGATTCATTTATTTACCTAATACTGCAATCGCGTTTAAACGACTTGATTTTTACAGTCCGTTATGATGTCACTGATAAGATAAGAAGCGGGGCAACCACAAGCGATACCTTCATTTGTACTTATGTTTATTTCGTATTTGATTTGAACAAGGCGTGGATGTCTAAAAAATAAATAAAATAGACAAGAAAAAATGTAAAAAGGGAGATGAATATTAAAGGAGTTTTCGTAGCTTTTTGTTTGATAGCATTTAAAAGTGGAAATGGAAAAGAAATTTGTCCAAGAATGTGTATTTGTGATGTTTTTGAAGGATATAAAAGAGCAGATTGTAGGTGAGAAATTTTCATTAAACTCCAATGAAGTTTGCAAGAGAAGTTTTGCTATTCAACTAACTAAGTCACAAAATTTCAATTATTGAGTCATAAATCAGAAACCCTAATTAAATGTAGGTAATATGATTACATTTTTTAAATATGTTTTTCTTTTTTTTTACATTTCTTTGTAGTGAGCAACATCTTGCTTCACCTTACACAAACGTTGCAAAAAGTGTTGAAATATTAAATTTAAGTGGAAATGAGATTACAACAATAGACAATGAATGTCTTGTGAACTATAAAGCTTTGGTAAAACTTTCATTTGCTAAAAATTCAATTCATACCATTGAACTTTTTGCTTTTGAATCATTGGAGAAATTAAATTATTTGGATTTGTCTGATAACAGGCTCGAAGTGATTGATAATAGAATATTAGAAAGAAATGAAAAGTTGACATTTCTCGACCTTTCAAAAAACAAGTTTATGTCAGTGGAGAATCAACCATTGATTATATCGAGCAGTTTGGAATTTTTATCATTACAAAATTCTCATCTTTCACATGTTTTTGACTCATTCTTTGAAGAAATGTCAAATCTTGTCGATCTTGATATTTCAAACAATTTGTTAATAACTCTTGTGCCGTCAGCGTTTGAACCACTTGAAAGTCTACAATTTATTAACTTGGAATACAATCGATTTTCATGCGACTTTAGAATCGAAAGCACTTTGCAGATGTTCAAGCAACGAAAGGTTCATGTTAAAATTGACAAATGTGTAAAAAATTCGAAGAAACCAATGTTTGAAAAGATGATTCTTCATCCGGATGTGAAAACGGAAATGCCTCGTGAAGATATTGAAATTGATCTTGTGTGGGGATCGTCAAAAGATTACAGAAAACTTGAAATGGAAAATGAAAACATTAATAAAACGAAAACTTTTAAAGACTTTTATGTAAAAATAAAAAATAAGAATGATGATGCATTAGAAGAATTTTATTGTGACGATGATGAACTGTTTCAATCAACTTGCGAATGTCATCAATATTTTATCAAATATTACGAATTTGTAGAAGAATGGAAGTCAAAACAAAAGGAAATTATTGAGATGAGACTACTTACAATCTTTTACGTTGGAATAATTTTTGGCATCGTTTTCGGCTACATTTTATTCTTTTTATTTTCCTCAATCAGAAAAAAATGCACCAAAGCTAATCAAAAGCAAATTGAGCGACAAGTTGTAAGAGATCAACTACTGATTAATAGTGAGTTAGATACTAGAGTTCTTCAAACAATAGCAGAACCTCAAAGAAACTCACCAGTTCCAGCAATAAGAAATGAAACAACAAATTTAATTGAATCTAATGAACAACGAAATGTCATCACACCGACACGATCACCGGTACCAGCACCAAGAAACATTCAATATAATATGACGCATTCTGAAGACAATAGAATAAGAACTGAAGTTCCAGTGAGAAGCCGAAGTAGTATCTCTTCTGAACGTGCTAATACTGAGTTATCTCCAACAGCACAATTGATTCATCGCCTGTTCAGAAATCGTGATCAGAGTTTTCTTCCGGCTCGTTCCGAGCTTATTCCAATAAACCGCAATGATCAAAGATCATTTCCACACAGATTTCAGCAAGGTCACGATCTTCGTATTACTGAAGACGCAATCTACGCCGAGATCCCCACTGCACCCAACCCACTTCCGATCGAATCTGAAGGAGATGGCAGCAGTGAATATTTTTCAATTGACAATTCAAGTTTAATTTTAAATCCTGATGAAATAAGAGTTGAGAGTGGCACACCCCCACCTGCATATAGATCAATATTTGAAGATTACAAATAAAATAATGAATCATAGGTACCTTCCTACCTAGTTTAATAAAAACAAAAAAACTCTTTTACAAATTTTCAGATTTTTTGTATAATTCTCTGGTTTTCATCCCTGGAAATTATTTTCACTCTCAATTTTTCTCTAAAGAGCTTGAGAATCAGGGGGAAATTCATCACGTACGTACAGGAATTATTTATGGGGAAAATCAAGCACTTCCAAATTCAGAGCAGTCAGCACGAAGAACACCACAACGTTTTATATGAAAACATTTTTTTGAAAATTGTTCTGACGAGAGCCCTGAATTCTCCCCTTGCTGTGAGATAAAAAAAAACATGAATTGCAAGGGGTAGACCAACAAAATATAGGAAAAAAGCACTATTTTGTCATGAAGAAATAGAAATACTAGAATCAAATTCCATGAAAAAGTCAGCAAATTCTTGGAAAATGAACAAATTTTTGGAAAAGTACTAGGTAGTGTTTTTCGAAGCACCATCTGACAAGAGTGGGAATAAACACTATGTTGCTCCACCCCTTGATGAATTGAGTAGTTTGAAAATTTCTCTTCTCATTCTCAGGCATTAGTCTTTGATACTTCGTACAGTGTAGTCGAAATTTTAAACATGTCGGAGTTTTAATAAAAAAAATATTTAACTTTATGCAACATAAATCTGTATTTTTATTAGTGAATGGAATTTTTCATGAGTCATTTTGAGTGCCGACGAAAAATTTTATTGTTTAAAATCAAATATCGTTAAAAGTCGCATAGTTAAAGCAAATATGATCGTTTAATGTGAATTTGTGTATGACAAATAAAAATAAAACACAAAATCCATTAATTCTCTCTTTCATCGTCGCTTTCGTGTAAAGGAAAAAGAAAAAAAATATCACAATTTAAGAAACGAAAACAAAAGCCGAATAATAAGAGAAATATTTAAAGTGTTTGTGCATTAAAATAATTTTTTTACTACTTATTGCAATCATAGTGAAGATAGGAATGAAAAGACGTGATTCAATATCTTCCATACATAATAAATAAAACATATCTATCAAAATATATCGATAGCAACATGACTCGCTCCTGTGCCAATAGATAAGGTTACAGTGTAATATTATGCGTGCCGTTTGACTTGTCTTGTCAAGTAAGAGAGTGGAAAATCAAAAAGAAAAAGAAAATACATATTTTACACGACTTGGAAAAGTATTCCTTTGTTTCTTTTTGGGAGAGAAAGAGAATCATCTAAAAGGAAATAATGGCAGGAAACATCGTTAGGTGGTGGCGACAATTCAAACAATATAAACAATTTTCAGGTATGAAATGTAAAATCTTATCTCGTCAATATTCTTGTTTCTTTTCTCTGATGCTTTCTTTGTAATTTCGTTGCCGAGTAAATAAAAAAACAAAAAAATCAAGAGAGAAAAACATCTGAACATATAAAGTTCATCAAAAAGAAATTTGAAGTTGCTTGTGATAAACAACTGTGAATGAAAAACATTTGAGAAGCTTGAAATTCAATTCCTTACGGTTCGAATCTCGACAAAGGTTCGCTAAAACTCGATAACACTCTGAGCTTACCACTCGCTTCGCTTCACTAAATTCTCCACATCTTTGTTGAGCTCAAAAATCAATTTATTTCCCATCAAACTTGATTAAATTTCCTTCGTCGAACCATCAAAGATCGACGGAAAGAATTTCTTTCACGATTTGCTTGTAATTTTAAATTTTTTAATATGCGTAAAAAACGAGAATTTATAAGTTCCCATCACTGCTTCGTTTGCGTTTGTTCCTGACGTTGATACAGGGAAAATATCGATGTAGGAAAAAAAATCAAAATATCATTTTCATTTCCCAATCAATGAACAAAAGTAGTGATGAGAAGAAGAAAGGAAGCAACTGAAAAATCCAGTTTTTCCATAATAACAGCTTGCGTTGTATAGAGAAACATCTATGCGGGATACAACAACAGCAAACACACGTTTTTACACAAGTCTCAAAGTCGGCTCCAAAAGAAACAAAAAAAAATTTTTTTCAATCCGCTCGAGAAATCACGATTTTATAAAAATCTTTTTTTTTTCTTTAAATTAATTTTTCATCTCTGTTCGCATTTCGGCGAGCACAAATCATAGAATTTATTGATGTAAAAAATTGACAGTTATCATCAACATGACGGGTCATTAGCTAGTTTTTTTGTCATATTCATTTTCAGCCTTCATATACAAAAAAAAATAAAGAAAATCTCCAAAAGAGAATCGAAAAGAGAAGAGAAGAAGAAGGAAAAAAATCAACTTAATGTGTATATGAAGCGTATAAAAATTATTTTTTATAGTCGGCTTCTAAAAGTCGATGAAAGGAAAAAGGCCGACAATAAAAAGAATTATAAGAAAATAATATACATTTTTCTACACCGCTCTCCGTTTCTCATGTTCGCTCTCGGGTTTGGCGGCTAGTTGAGGTATACTTACTTATATGCGCATAATAACGTCTTACACAATCAAGTAACCGCAGCACGGCACACAAAATTGACGATGGAAAAAAATGAATTTTAATAATAAAATTATAAACGTGAATAATAATTAAATGGATTTCGTTTTCTCTCCATTATACGATGTCGGCGTTTTTCTTTTTGTTCCGCGACTGACCCGTCGCGAGATATTACGCAATCATGCTATGTGCTCAATAAATCTTGAAATATCAGTTCATAAGTAAAGCCCTGGACTTTAAGAAACACCGATCATGGTCATCATGAAAAAGAAAAAGATTTTTCTCTTCATTTTCTGTGCGCCTTGTGACTAAATCTGCCTAATGCGGTGCTACTTCAAAAGTAAAGAAAAAAATGAATAGTTAATTTTAATGCGTTTTTGTTGTGTGGTGATGTTTCAAATGGCGAGGGAGAAAGAGATAGAAAAACTAAAGGTTAATTACGACACTTACAGCAAGCCCGATATTCGAGAAGAGGTAAAATGATGCCACAAAAAAGTTGAGGAAAAAAAAGAAGACTTCATATTAATGATACTTTTAACACCTTTTCCTTTTTTAATATTTTCTCTCACTCCCTCTCGGAATATTTCATAAATTACACATGTTTCCATTTTTCATGTCGTGCTGTTGTTGCTTTTTCGCTTTTGAAGGCATTTTGTGTTATTGGTAGGCACCGCGGAGCGCTTTTAAGTAGTCTTTTTCTTAGAAAACTTATCATTTCTTTCGTTTCACGTTCAGTGACGGCGAACAACAGGTTTGGATTTGACGAATAATTGCTTTGATAGGCTCAATTTCGCATTTTACATAATCATTTTAAATGATTAAAGGCGGAATGTTGCGAGAAAATATTCGAATACGTGAAGATCGATTCGTATCAAACACACTTAATCAGATCTTTCGAGGCTTTGATCAGCAATTCCATGACACAATTCACATTTTATTCTTCTATTTTACGTGAGACAAGATTTTGTGAGTCACTGTATTTGAAAATGCATTTTGTGACCCGTAACTTTGAAGTAATCTTTATGTATAAACGTTGTATCTTTTTTACTCTTTATTTTTTTTTCACTTCAAAGAAGTAAAGAGAAGAAACAAAATCGTAAAGAAAATATAAAAGAAACATAAATATTATTGCCGACAAATGTTGAAATGGGGAACTGAGAGAAGAACAACGAATAAAGAGGAGAAATAAAAAAAGAAGAGAATAATAAATAATTTTTTTCTGATGCTTAAAAGCTAGTGAAGAAATAATGGAAATACAAAATGCATGTTGAGGGGGGTGTGGGATTTAGATAGGAAAGCGTGTATTATTAACATCATTAGACTGTATCTTTCTATCTCTTAATTGATAATTGATAAGTCCGTCAATGATGACATAAATTTATATTCAAGTTCATTCCTTAATGAAACTCTGCATTGTGCAACACGTGAAAAAATATTTCTCTTCTTGTTGTTTCCATTTACGATCGACTTCCTTTTTTTGTGAATCTGCTTTCATCTTCTTTCCCTTGGCGCACATTTAAAAAAAAGAAAAGAAGGTCGAAAAGGGAAAAAGAAGAAATGGTCGGCTTGGAAAAGATCGTAAAGAAGACGAGAAAATATCTCCCGTCTCTAAAGTTTCGTTTCATGAAAAAAAATATCTACAAGAAAGAAGAAACAAAGTTCCGAGGACCGACAGAGAGTTGCCCTTACCCTCCCTATTAACAGCAACAACAAACGATTGAAACGACACAAAGCGCACAACAGCCGAGAATGAAACAAAAACGAAGAAGAGAACGATGGGCCGGTGAGGGTCTTTTATAAGCGAGAAAAAAAACCGAGAACCGGAGAATACAAAAAGAAAAATAATAATAACTTAAGATGCCGATTGAAGATTATACATTTTATAAGGAAAGCAAAAAGTAAAAGAAGAATAAGATTGTACTGTCCATCCATATGTCTGATTCTTCTGACGAATAATATTTCTTCTTCTTTATTGTACTTTTACGTTCGAGTAAATAAGAAATAAAACTCTTTCGATAAAACGAAATAGCATCAGGCAATGAGATTCCATCGAACAGGTTGTTGCTGATTAGTTATCTTTTATTTAGTCGAATCTCGCTCTTACAAATTTGTTATTTTATTATGTATTTTTTTTTCTTTGGTCGACATTAACATCTTCAAAAGATTCCGATTTAATGCAGGCAATATCAAAGAGTGCGCATTTAAAATTTATTTTAATTCACTAGTGAATGAACTTGTGGCATTAGTAAAGAGTCGCCAAAAGCCGGTTGAGAATTGAACGCATTTGTTTAATCATCGTCTGAAAACAATGTTGAGAGTCTCAAGAAAAACATAAGTAAAAGCCAACAAAATGAAGGAGGCACCGTTGAAGTTTGTAAGAAAGATTTCTTGAAATTATACCGTAGAAAATCTTTAATAATCACCTCTCAGGGTTCTTCTTTCAAAGCCGCTTCATCATCTCTCCAAAAGAAATTGCTGGTGTTGGCTTGTTTTTTTTTTCTTTCTTTTTCGGGGTCGTCTAATTGCCTGTTGCTTCGGACGACGTGCCGTTTGTGTTTTTCGTAATTCTTCTCATTATTTTATTTCATGAGAAGAAAAACTTGCTTTTTCCTTTTGCAAATTTCGAGCGGTTCCCTCAAGCCATATGTGTGCGCAAAAAAAACAAAAATAAAGCATAAAAGAAGAGACTCAAAGATGCATGGTACGCTTTAATTTCGGCACCATACAAATCGATCGTTTCAAGGGCTGTTAAGAATCATGTTACCATCCAATCATGGTAACAATTTCTAGTGAGCTGCAAGCTCGTCTCTGATTTCGTTTTATTTCATGTTTTTAAACGTTAAGCACATGTCGATGCAAATTGAGCAAATATGGAATGTGCGAGAGAAAAGACCTTTTTTAATGACTGCGCTCCGCGCGCTACAAGGTTGTCCAGTTTTCTTTAGATATGGCATGAAAATTGGTCTTTCTTTACATTGGCATTGCAATCTGAAAAAATCAAGTAGTAGGGAAGCAAAATAACAATCGATCGTCTTCTTTCAACCCATTAATAGTTGGTACATGACGTCACGTATTTCTTTTCAAAATGCATGACAAACACATGCTACTTTAATTATAAACTTGACTTTTCTTGCACAGCTCTCAAGTGGAAGTTTGCGGTTTTGTTGAAAAACAGAATAGAGAATCTCTTGACATATTCCATCGTTGATTGAATGACACAGCACGTAGCTTTTTCCTTAATTAGATTTACTACAATTTGTGTTTTCTTTTCCTTCTTGTTCAGAGACAAGATAGGTCAATAATCTTCTCCAATTCTAAATCCATCATTCAATAAAATCCATTTACCGAAACGAATCAAGTTTTCTGCTTGAAGAGGTTGGAAATTGAATTTGTTTGTGAAGAAATCAATGAGAAATACACACGAGGGATAAGTCGCGGCACATACAACCAGAATTAAATTAAATTTGTTTCCAACATTAATAATCATTTTACATCATCAACGACCAAGCGATTGAAGCCCGCGCGGAATATGTGATCAGAGCGAAGCGGCGCAAAAGAAAAAATATAAAAAATTATCATTAAGCAGCGAGCAGAGACGAAGACGAAGATGAAGACCGACTTAAGCATTAAAAACGCTAATGGAAGGAAAAGACGGAGGAAAAAATACGTTTGATTCATTCTCAATAAAAATGGAGATTCCATTAAAAAGCACAATCTCGAAGAAGCCGCAAAGATGATGGAAGAAAAAAAATTGAAACGCGGAGCGATGTTGAAAAAAATTTCTGTTTCGAAATTTAATGTGCTCAATAATTTTGTAATTTTTTTTGTTCCTCATCATCGCTCGATGCTTGGGCATTTTTTAATTCTGTTGATTTTGTTACCCAAATTAGTGTATCTGGTTTTTTCTTTCTTAAGATACATATGGACTTGGTCAGCGTCACGTGAGCAACGGTCACAAATTCAAAGCTGAATATCATATGTGTGGCTTAAGCTTTTACTGAAACCACTTACATTTTTAAATAGGGCTTACCAAGTACTATTTAAAAGTGTAAGTGGTTTCAGTAAAAGCTCAAGCCATACATATGATATCCAGCTTTGAATTTGTGACCGTTGTTCACGTGACGCCGACCAAGCCCATATGAAATAAAAAATAATAAGCAAATGTATGATAGAAAAGAAGTAAATAAAAGAAGAAAAAAAATGAGGAAGTGATTGGCCTTACGAGAAAGAAAAGAACACTTCAAGTGCGCGCAGTATAATTGCATGAAATATTTTGTTAAGAAAATGAAAAGCAGCGGGGTCAAAGATGAATTCTGAACATCAATCCAAATTTTGCGCCAATTTCAGATTTAGAAATATGAAAAATTTTCTCACTTATCAAAACCACACAGGAAATCGAAATTCTTTAGAAAAGTCATAAAAGCACTGATTTCGTGCATTATAAAGAAACCACAAAGAAATGTCAGCTTCTAACTTTTCTATTCTTTTTGTTCGATTGTTGTGAGAATGAAACCAGAAATGAAACGACCAATATAAAAAAAAAGCTGTCACATGTTTTGCCGAATAACTTCTTTGCAAAGCACCGAAAAATAAAGAATCTTCCATGACTTGAGTGGGCCGTATCGATGTCTCATTGTATTGTCGAATAACTTTTTTTACAACGTGTCTAACTATGTGGATACAATTTTTTTATTATCTTTAATGTTTCTTCGAAAACCTCATCGATTCGAATCGCACTTTGTCCCTTGAGAACAGAAACAAAAATGTGCTGTGAAATGTTTTTTTAATGCCAATAACCGAAAGGGAAAAAAAACAGAAAAGAAAAACATTGTAAGAAAATACGAGAAAGAAGTTGAAAAGATCTTTTATTCACAATCATTGCCGACCTGCATTTTATTCAATAAGGATTTTGTGCGTGTGGGTGGTCTTCGTCTTCCATTAAGTAACTAAAAACTAAATGATCTCAATCCACATCAAATCCACCAGCTGAATGAATTCTTTTGAATTATGATACTTTAAACGATATTTCTCGCCTGCCGTTGATGAATTTTTCAATCGATTGACTATGTTGTTTCATCTATCGAGTCCATTCACTTAACTTCAATGGCTTTGCTATCAAAGATCAAATCTGTTTACAAGATGTTGCTTCAATTGATCTGTATTAACGGAAAGTCATTTCCGCACTTATGAGTTGGGTTTTATCGATTGGAAAACTGATGAAAAATTCTCAAAGCAATCTGGTTATTCTCATGGGTGCATTAAAGATAGCAGTAAATACCATTAAATCTCTGATTACAAAGCCTTTGAATTGAATTCAATTGTAAAAATGAACAGTAGCAAGACATTTGCTGAGAGTTCTTGATGTATGAAACAGCAATCACGTCATCTGATTGGAATGTGTCTTAAAACATACTTTCGCTACTACTTTGTAAGACAATGAAGGCATAATTTATAAATTCAGTTTTTTTCTGATCACTCGCAACCTGTCCTGTCAATGAATATCTACAACATAAAGATTTTTAATATAGAAAAAAGGCCTAGGCTTGTTTGTTGGCTAAGACATTTTATGTGTGTTGCCTTGAAGCGTTTTGTGTAAAAAAGTATTTTGAAGAAGGCACAGAAAATGATAGAAAGGAAGAAAAAAACAGAATTTCAAAGATTTTATTCAAAGAATCTTTTGTTAAAGATTTTTTTATTATGTATGTTTCGTAAACATCGGGTTGCGGGTCTTGTCGACGTTGAAAAAAATATTAAAAGCAGGCCGAACAAACGCACAAGCTCATGATTAGATATTCTGAATTTTATGCGTTGTAATCATTTAAAATTCGCAACTTTGAAAAGTTTCACCTACCTTGATTAAGTTCAACACATCAAATGCTTATTCTGTCATCACATTGACTTCGACTTGAGGAATTTTTTAATAACATTTTGAAGAAATATTTCTTCTTCTTTTATTTTCTGCTTCTTAAGTATGTATCCGTCTCAGATGATTTCTTATGAAAGAAAAAGAAAAAGTAAGAGGAGGAGAGAGAGAGAGAGAGAGAGAGAGAGAGAGAGACGCAAGATTAAAAAATCATGCGTAGCGGAGATATTTTAAATTTCAAAAGGCACAAGACGAAGAATCGAAAATGAACTGTTGGAGATCGTTTCAGTTCTTTTTCAGAAAAAAAATATCATTAAAAAAACTGTTAAGTTCTTAGAGAGATTTCTCTTACACAAATTACTTTGGTAATTCTTTCATGGTTGCTTTTGTATTAATTTTGTTTGAATATCCTGGGGGTCCATGAGACTTAAAAAGAGATTTCAACACAAAACTGATTGAAAAGCAACAAAAAAAGAATGTCTTCCATTTTAATTTCATTTCTAGATATATTTTAAAAATCTTCAATGTTCATGAACTTGTACTTAAAAAAAACTAAATTGCATCCTTGCATTGTAATTTTTATTCTTCGTCAAATTTCATAAATATATTCTTCCATTGTAAACATATCACATAAAATTTTTTTCTAAACAATCTCAAGCTCAACTCAATATTTTTTTTCTTAGAAATTCTCATTTCTTGAAAATTTTTTTGCCGATGTTTGTTGTTTGTGCTTGGTATTGCTTTCCATGGTGTTTTTACATTTTTTCGTAGTCTTTGAGGTCTGTGTGACGATGATATTCTCTTATTATTGGCCTTTTCAGTATTTCTTCCTTTATGCCCTATAAGAAATCCAAACCAGAATTCTTATTAAAAGTCTTCAGGTATAAGAAACAGCAACTTCAACTATTTATCTACGCACAATGTCGAAAGTAAGAAGCAGGAGATTATTAAGAAAAAGATCTACCGTAGGGAGATTAGATTTGTCAACAGTCTTATTTAAGATTTTGTTAACAATTTCTATTGAGATTAATTTGAAGAAGAAAAAAATCATCTGAAGGTTCATCAAAAAATTAAGTTCCGGATGAAAAATTTTCCAGGAAACGATCACTGTTCGACCGTGAAGTATCTTTTCTCAGAGTGAAAACAAAATGAAAGATTTTACATGTTTTATTTGCAAAAGTTAAGCAAAGTTGGCAAAGATATTCAAATCCATTGATCTCTTTTGAAATTGGATGTGAGAAAAAAAACTTCAAAGTGAAGAACGGGCCTGTTAAGATCAAAAGCATCACCGGCATAATTAAAATATTTATCATTCCCATGTGAAAAAACTTCATGCGAAAGTCGAAACTTTTTATTTAGCAAGATGGAATATTTGTCAATTTGTTTAAGAGAAAAACAGAAAAGTTAAGTAACAACATTTGAGGTCAATACTTAAATGATTCTCTTTGTCTAAGCGCAGATGTTTCTCGTTCATTAACTTTCTCTGTGATCAACGATCAAAAGCAATCTAAAAACGAACGTCTTCTTATTCACATATTCACATAAAACAACAAAGCAGAATCTTAAAAGCAATCGTCAGACATGTCGTTGACGTCTGGTAGACGTAAGAAGAAAGTAACGCTGCTCACGATTGATCTTTTATTTTTGAAATTCATTAGAAACATGAAAAGATTTTTTTTTGCGTAATTAATTTTTCTTTTCCCGTCGGTTTTAAGTTGTTTCTTTCTTCTGTGTTGTCCTTAATATTTATTGCGAAATTTATTCCTCGTCATGTTTGTCGATTGGGGGCCAAACAGTTCGCTTTTGATGTCTCACATAAAAATGAGGTGTGTGATCCCATCAGTTAATCATGTGGTGAGACTGGTAACAATTTTTTTGTTTTGTAATTTATAATGATACAAAAAGAAGAAAGAAAATAATATAGCGACGAGCATGCTTTAAAAATTACAAGCTCTTGAAACTCAAAGAAAACTTTTTGAAGCGAAACATCAAAAAAAAATTCAAAGTAAAGAGGCGATCAGAAATTTTTGATGGTTTTTTGATGTTTATTTTAGCTGTTAAATGTCGAGTCAAAGCGGCCTCGAAGACGATTTCAAAGTCGTGTCGCTTTCTTAAAGATTAAAGAGATTCCACCGAAAAGCAAGCAACATTTGTTACTTTAAAGAAAAGAGCTTTTCTCTTGATGAAAATGTTTTATTTTATATATCTATCTGTAAAAAGCGTACAACAAAAAGAACAGACAGAGATCGAAATCAAAGGAAAAATTGGCCATCACGAAGAATTAATGCAAGCGAAACTCAAGAAGAATGAGAATGAAAGAGATAAAATAGCATTGAAATTGTGCGCGGCCTTTGCCAGAGCAAATATGGCAAAAATGTGCAGAGATCTCATTTAAGCTGAATGCCCATCTATTTTCCTTTATTCTCTCCCCAGCTTCTCGCTTCAGTTTTTGCTTCTTCATTTCACGAAAATTTACTTTATTTCGTTTCACTTTTCGGATCCCGTCTCTTGCCTTCTTATTTTACTTCTTTTTTTTTTGCAACACTGTCGACAATATTAATTTTTCCCTTCTCTGAGATTTCATAAACGTCTTAGCAGAGGCTTTTTATTATCATTAAAATTTATTTTGAGAGACAGTAGCTGGAAGCGAAAACAAATTTCAAGAATATAATATTTATTTTACAAGATGTAGGTATTCATTCGCAAATGTTCTTATTAAACTTTTTGGGCTCTACAAAGTTGTTAATTCTTGTTTCATAACAATATAGATAATTAAACGATCCATGAGAAAATGATTTCAAAATGTTTCAAATTATCCTACGATGTAAGCACAAGGCTCAAGCTTGAATATATCTTAAAGAATAGAAAACAAAACACTTGAAAAACATCACAAGATGTAGATAATTCATTTTCACGTGATTGAATAAATAAACTAAAATAATAATAAATAATAAAAGAAAATCAATAGGAACATTCTTAGAAAATAGGTACCTATTTAAAGAAATTACTGTTTAAATTCTTTTTATCTTGTCTTATTTAGATAGTTGTTGTTTATGGATGATGTTAATTACATTGAAATATTGAATCGTCCAAGTTCAGTAATCATCGCTAAATTCATTAAATATTTCGTTGTAGATTCATGAATGAAATCTCGAAACTTATAACACATTACAATTGAGTTATGAATGAAGTAAACAAACTGAGTTTATTTAGCAAATGTTTCGTGTTTTAATTCTATAATAATTATTCATCATTTGAAAAAATGTAAAGACATTCACAGTTATGCCTTATAGAAAATTAAATACTTGTTGGAATTGAGAAAGATATTAAAATTTACCCACAAAAAACTTCAAACGAATTAAATTGAAAAGAAAATTTTCTTTGATAAATTCTTTCGTCGCAATTTTCTTTCATCATGAATTTTATTTTAGTTAAATTTGTTTTATTCTATTTTCAGTCCTTCAAGAATGCCAAACTGACTCTGAAGAGTTAATTTACCAAGCGCCATCAGCATGCAGTGCTCCACCAGATTTTTTAATAACAAACAACCAGCCACAACAAAGTCAAGCAGTGGTTGCCCAAACACCGTCATCAGTAGCAGAATCACAACAGAATCAACAACAATCTAAACCAGTGAAAGCTGTGAAGGTCAAGGATCATCAAGTTAAGGAAAAAATGAGTCGAGAAGCAACCGAAAGACTTCAAAAACGACACAGTATAGCAACAACACGTCATTTGGAAGCTCTTGAGGAGAATCGTGTTCATCTCGATGAATTCACATGTGACGTTTCAGTCGAAGATTCAAATGAGAAACCGCAGCCTATTCAATTCTCATTCACATTATACGATCTTGATGGTCATGGTAAAATCACCAAAGATGACATCGCTGGTATTGTGTCAACGATTTACGACAGTATTGGAAAAACAGTTGTGGTGCCACATTATGGTAAAAAAACGATAAACGTTAAACTTACAGTGTCGCCTGACGCAAAACAACAGCAACAACAACAACAGCAACCGGCAACAAATGAACACATTCATCAGCAAGATCGCACGAGTAAAAAACTTCAATTAACACCTCGACGGCGCTATAGACCGCGCGCACTTCTAAGTGATGATGATGACAGTGAGTCAACATCTGATAATCTTGCGCCATTTCCAAATGAGGTCGTCATCAACAATAGTATGAAAGCGAGCGAAAATCTTAACAATGATAAGAATAACATGTATGAGTCGATAAATAACTTAAAGTGCTGTAATCAATCGAACACGATAGACAATTTATTTACGACAAAAAATAATAAAAATATTGAAATTTATAAGAATTGTCAACCATGTTATTCACCCGAAAGATTACATATTCATGAAAATAATGTTAATTATGATACAAAATGTCATAAAAAGCATATTCCAAATTCGAAGAAGAAGCTTCTAAGGAGATCAAGATCACGGAGACATCAACGAGTAAGTTGAATAAAACTTTCGTCAGTAGAATTTTTATTAATTTTTAATGTTTTTATTTTAAAGTCATCGGAAGTACGAGTTCGATCTCTTTCTGTTGGAAATGATCATAAATGGAGACGACAGCAACAAGTTGATGAGAAGGAAACTGAATTTATTTCATCAAAAGATTGCAAACTTAATAATGGAACGAATCTTCGTCGTGATGAATTAATTGAAATTATAAAAGACAGCATGGAGAAGAATCGTTTGTGTTTTCAAGGAAACAGGTTGGTTAAATAAAATTTAAGGATCATTAACATGAAACTAAATTACTGTTTGATTTTTCTTCAGGAAAACTGAGAATGTCAACGGCACAAGTCAAATGAGACAACGTTCAAATACGGTGACATGTACGAATAAATTGAGCATTTCAAACACTCATTGTAATGACACTGAACAGCATCTTTGTGCCTTTGACTCATTTCTTCATGCCACAATTTGTTCTAATGCTCATGTAACGTCGCAAATAGAATCAACAAAAATTGTCGCTTCAAAAATGAACAATCGTAATCGAATGAAGCAAATGAATCAATCAATGCCACCAGCTTTAAAATTAAAAACTTCAGTATTGAATCACTTAAATCCGAATCTCACACCAGAACAGAAACTCACGAGAAAGTTAAATGATGTTGAGAAATGGCTGCTTGAACGTGATACAACGACGCACAGTTATAAGATTGAAAATGAGGGAAAAATTCGTTCAAAAGATGACAAAAATATTCTCAATCCAATTGTTGTTGATAAGTTGTCAGCACAAGCGACATTAACGCCGAAAAAAGTCTTTAACAAGGAACTTTTATTATCAAAGAAGTTAAAACCTTTGGGACATCAATCAAAGCAACAGAAAGAAGTTATTAATAGTTCTAAGAATCAAATAATTCTTGAATACTCAAATGTGCCAGTACCTGGTGATGTGTCCGAGTGTGAGAATCTTCTCATCTCAGATGATGATCAATCGCAAGCACCAACTGCCATTCTTGTAAACAATAAGGAAACAAATGATGTTGAACCAGAAGCAGTAACACCTTCAAACGCATCAGATTCAACAACAAAATCATCGTCTGTTCGCTTCGTTCATATTCATCATCATTTCTATCATTTCAATGAAAAAAATGAACAAAATTAATAATACATTTTGATGATGTCTTTTAATCATCGTTATTGAATTTATTAAATGTTTAAAGTCCAAATAATGGGATGAACATTTTGCCTAAATGTGCGAGCTTAAATTTGTGTCAATATGTAAGAAAAGATTTATAAAACACTTTACAATTTTTTAATGAACGATGAATGAATTTGTGCTTTAAAAATGATCAAATATCTAAATGTGAATTAAATTGGCACAGAATTATTTTCGTGACAAAGAACAACTTTTAATAAGAAGTTAAGCGAATACAAAAGACTGATTTCCAATCAATTTGTTGATTATTTTAATTTATTTGTATAATGAAGAGTAGAACATTTTGTTCCATTTTCCATGTTAATTGCTATTAGAAAATGTTGTGGGTGGAATTAATTTACTTCGAATAAAGTAACTGATATGAATTACCTGCTCAAAATATATATATACATAAGTTCTTATCTCAGGATCAATTAATCTTAATTATCTAGATGTTGAAAATAGTTTTATTAAATGTAGTAGTCGTACTTATGATTTGTAAATAATGAATTCGCAGGAATATTTAGACAACGATCAAATATAATCATAATAAATATATTGTCTCCTCAAAGTTACTTGCAACATAAAGTATCAATCATTTTGACGGTAAATTTCCCGTTTAAAAGAACATTTTTATCGTGAATATTTGTAGGGTTCGACCACATTGATCGCTCCCAATTCCATAGATTGTCCAAATCTAATCAATTTTATTTGAAAATGTTCTCAAATATAATATTCAATTAAAGTCTTGAATAGATATTTATTAAGCAACTGAAAAATAAAGGAAACCCGTTATCAATTTTTAAATCTATTTTATTAAGGATTCTTTTTTTTACTTTAAAGTTTGATTAATTATTTCAGTCCGAAGCGATCATGATGTGACCATCTTTGGGAGTGATGTTTGAAAATAAGTTCACGTTATGCAAATCATTTTGTTCCGCACGAAGAAGATTTTTAGCAATACTTCGCATTTCTTCAAGAGTCTTATCGGAATATTTGTTAATATCGTAACTACATTCATAAAAGTCAGGATTTTCAGGGTACAAATCATCTCCAGGTAAAACATGAATAGATCCATCTTTAGCTTTAAACTGATATGGAAGAATTGTTTCCATTTCTTGGTCTTTTCTTCCTTTAGCAATTTCGACAAGTTTATCAATGCTTTTTATCGTACTAAGTCTTCTCATTTCCACAAATTGCGGGGGTGGCAGCCAAAGTTGATTCTCTTTGTATAATCGAAGGTATTCATCCGGTGTTTCCCACTGAAAATAGTTTATTTATTTAACATTAAATTCCAGATGAAATAATGCTCATCATACTTGATAATCTTGAACTTCGTGACATTCTGGAAGAATCGGTGGAATATCATTTAACGCTACAAGATAGAAAATTGTTTCAAATCTTTTCGGTCGAAAACATGTTGGCGTTAACCAACAACTCCACTCATGAATTTTCATTACATCAGGCATAAGATTGAACTTCTGACAGAATGACAGTAGTGAGATTTCATCATCATGAATCTTCTTCTGCCATGAAACAATGTCAAAGTCTTTTGATTGGTAAAAGCTGGAGAATGGTGAATTTGAAGGTTTCGATGGATCTCTACAAATAATAACACCAAGTTCTTCGAAAGTCTCACGAATAGCAGTTATACGTAATGAAAGTTCTCTTTCTAACTTCCCTTCAACTGTATTGTATATCAATGGCTTCTTCACTTCCAACTTCTTTCTCAAATCATGAATTGGAATTTTATGATTTTCAAAAAACCTAGTCCAGTCTTTGATTTCGTCATTTTTATCAATGGCACCTCCAGGAAAGCAAATTCCATTTGGCATAAAACTACTTTTTTCCGTTCTTTTAAATGTTAACACCTTCAAATATCATTGTTAGGCATAGAAATTTGCTACAAACATTTAGGTATGTTGTTCAAAGTTCAACTTACTTTATAATCAAATTTAACATTTTTTGCCACATCTCGTGCAATGACCATCAATGTTGCTGCTTCACGCCATGGTTTCTTCATCTTCACAGGAATTATTTTTAACAATTAAATTTATTTTATGTACCTTTCAATGTTGATATTTATGTTATCTATAGGAACTCATTTTAATCAAAGTCTTCATAACTTAAATTTAGGATGTCTACTCAAATGAACATTTCTGACCGTCTGACCGTGTTCAAATTATTAAAATTAAGCATAAATTAGAAAAAGCTTTAAAACAGCTTGACTTTTAATTGTTCAGTTTTGATCTTTATATGATTTGTACATTAATCTTATCTATCACCAGTATAAATATTTTTTTAATCTTAAAGCTTTGAAATTGGATCGCATACCAATGGAATGTGACCATCAGTCGACGGAATATTTGCGATTGTTTTCACTCCAAAAAATCCATGCTGTTCTGTTCGTGAGAGACTTTTAGTCATTGCTCTTAGTTCATCAACAGTTTTATCATCATATTTGGAAATATCATGATTTGTTTTATAATAATTTGGGTTTTCGGGATAAAGATCATCACCAGGGTAGACATGAATGATGCCATTCTTAGCTTCATATTGATAAGGAAGCATTGTTGCCATGCTTTTACCATTTCTATTCTTTGCAATCTCAACAAGTTGATCGATTTTTGTAATTGTACTTAAACGAGCAATTTCTATAAATTGTGGAGGCGGAAGCCAAATTTCTTCTCTTTTATATGATTGAAGTATCTCATCTGGTGTTTTCCACTAAAAGAGTAGGTAATTTGATAAATTTGTGTTTAAACATTAATTGTAAAAGTTACATACATAAAAATCTTGCACTTCATGTGTTTCTGGATATGTTGGTGGAATTTCATTTAAAGCTGCAAAAAAGAAGACAGATTCAAAACGTCGACCGAAATTAGTTGGAGTCATCCAACAACTCCATTCATGAATGTTCATTATGTCAGGCGTTAAGTTGAAGTTTTCACAAAATTTTAACAATGACAACTGATGATCGTGAATTTTACATTGCCAAATGGGAATATCACAAGATTTTGTATGATAAAAAGTGGAGAAGGGCGTTAAAGTTCCGTCCTTATCTTTATTGTGACAAATAATGATTCCCAATTCTTCAAAAGTTTCACGAATTGCTGTTAATCGTAACGAGATATCTCGTTTCAATTTTCCTTCTACATCGTCAAAAATTAAAGGTTTTTTGGCACCTGGATCCGGTTTAAGTTTCTCAAATGGTATCTGTCGATCCTTTAAAAACTTTTCCCAATCTTTTGTTTCGTCTGTTTTGTCAATTGTACCACCAGGAAAACAGACATGACCAGGAAGCATACTAGTTTTATCAGTTCTCCTGAAAATCAGCACCTAAGATATATGATACGCTAATGATATTTAGATTGGACAAGATTTATGAACAATGATCAAAGTTCAAAACAATAACATACTTTGTAATCAAACTTTATATTTTTAGATGAATCTCGTGCAACGACAATAAGTGTAGCAGCTTCTCGCCATGTTTTCTTCATAGTTTAAAACCAATTTAAAATTAAAAAGTGCCTAAGGAATTAATTTACTTTCTGTACCTAGGTTGTTATTTCTAAAATTGGTTCGTTTTAGTTGAATAACAAATGAAAATAGAAGTAAAAGATTTTATAGCGGTCTGACATGGCAATATGTTTTCCTTAAAATAAAACAATGGAACATGTACTCTTTTAAGTAGGTAACTCTTTTTAGCACTTTCAGAAATTTAAGTGAAAATGGAATTGAGTTTAGAAACAGATCTGTCAATTTCGATTCTAAACTTTATAGATTTTTATCAATCATATTTTAGAAAAATATTACGTAACAGTTAAAAAAGCCAAGTAACGGCTCAAACAGAAATCACTCTCGTTCGGAATATCTTTGAAAATGAAACATTGGAAATTTGACTTCCCCTGCACCATCCGATTCATTCGCATTCGCTCTTCGTAACGCAAAGCAAGAGAACGTGTATCGAGATCGATGTGAATATTTTTTTTGTTTATGAAAAAAATTACATAGAGAAAAAGTGTTCAAATTCGTTTTCATCACAAATTCCTCAAAAATTTTAAAATGGCTGCAACATCAGTGATTGTTTTGGATCGTTCAAACAACACGACCTGTACAATCAATCTTCACGGTAAATATTATCAGGATAAATCATATTTTGTGTCCGGCACGGAGTAAATTGTCGGATATTTGTGTCTGAAAGGAAATCAAGAAGATTTTTTTTCTCATTCTACTCATAAAAACAACGTGAGATGCATGTGTTAGTCAGTGAGTGCGCAACTAACACAGCGTCATTCAAGTGCCAAAAATCCGCGGTTTTTTCAAAATAAACTTTTCACTTCTCTTTCTTTTTTGTCCTCACTGTTTGAGAAAAAAAATTAATAAAACAAAAAAAAAGATTAGAAAGATGGAACAGGCAGGGAAAAAATCAAACAAGTTCATCGTCTCTGTTCGACATCGAACAAATACCTATAAAGTGAAAGATTAGCTTTCGAGACGATGTGATTGAGTTTCGAGTAGTGATGTTAAATGTCATCAAGATTAGAAATTAGTAGCGAAGTTATTTTTTTTAAAAGTTTAATTTAATTCCTTATGTAGCAAGTCTGGAAAGTTCAATGATACTTTTATCACTTGCCATCTCTGGTTTTTATATGTGATGCATGATCGATAGCAACGATTTTGAGGATGAGTGTAAAGCTTTTTTTCATTCTTTTTTTTTGTCTTCGTCATCATCGCGATAGCTTTCATTATCTCATCTTGCTTCTCTTGTCTCGTTCCATGCTTTTTTACGACTGATTAATTTCTTTTGTGTCTTTCTAAGACATTTTTCTTCTTTAAACCTGCGTGATGAATGATTAGATTTTTGTTGGTTGTTGAAAAAGAAACGGAGGAAGTTTTTGATGAAACTAACTGTAATTAAATTCATCTCGTGTTCGAGCGTAAAATGCTTGTAACGTGAAGTCATTAAAACGAATTGCCATTCCCAGTTTGATTTCAAATTTTCACGTGAAAATTCTCCAAACCCTTTTTTTCCATGTTTCAGTATCAGTGGCTTTAAACTTACTTTTACCCTCATCGTCAATAAAATTCTCATGCATGAGTCCCTCAAGCAGCTTCAAAAGCAACAAAAAAGGGTTCCACATGGCATTCAGATGAAATTTATTCAAATTTAAGATTTCTTTTCCTTGTCTATTCACTCATTTCGTAACAACACAGCAGCTTCTAAATAAGATTTCAGTGTGCGTTAGAATTATTTTTTAGTTTATTTCATTGATATCTTTTGCTAGCAAATGATCGTTTATTAGTATGCAATTTCAATCGCGCGCAAAGATTTGTTGCTTGCTTAGAAAAAAGAATCGAGGGGATCGTGGAGTTGCAATCTTTATATTAAAGAATGTTTCTTTGTCTGCTTCCTCGTCAAAGTTTTTTTCTTGAATCTAAATTTTAATTAAAGGCTCATAGAATCCAAAGATTCATGCAATTAATGTTTGTGTATCATTAAAGATATTTATCATAAGCTTTGAATGCACAGCCCCTCACGTTATTTCTAAGACATTAACTAGTTTTTTTCCTCCTCTCCACTCTACAACTATTAATCAATGGAAACAGGTCTTTTGCGTTTAGTTGAAGGTCATTTCGCAGCAAAAATTGCCAATGTTATTTCGGGGCTGAATTTTCAATTAGACTGAAAATCTGTTAATGTTGCGAACATTCACCAAGAGTTCTAGTTTCACTCGTAAAAGCTGTTTCTTATTCTCGTTTATCGAGACAAAAATGATCAAATTTTACATTCAGTTTCAACACAAATCAGGAACGGTGACGACAAAATATCGAAATGAAAGAGTTAAAATCTTAAACTTTCTAAACCATGCACGGTAATGACAATTTACTTATATTTTTATTGTAGATAGTTGTTCACTTTGTGCAATGAACAAAACTTTTTCAGTTTAATCCAAACGATAATTATACGTATGAGATTGCACATTTTAAATTTTAACCAATAATAGTAGTTTACATAATCGACAGTTGGTTGTGTCATTGATGAGAGAAATATTAATCTCTTATTGTTGTACTGCTTCGATCATTGTGCGATTTTGAAGATTATTAATCTGTGATGCTATGGTCGCACAAGGACTTCTATCCGATTCACATCTTGATGTTTTAGAGTTATTTTTGTCAGTGTCATCATCGACAAAAAACCTTTGGTGAAGTTCAAAATGTGATGGACATTGTTCATGTTAATTACCAGCTCAAAACTTATCTAACCGACACAAAGTCCAAACATTAAAATACTCAAACAGAATTAAATGATGAGACTAACAAAAACACGAGATAAATAATCAAGAAATGATTTTACAGCAGTAAGAAACAAGCGACTATCGAAACATGTGTTCAAACAAATCGAATGAATGTTTCAGTTTTTTTTCTTTTCTTTTTTAATGAAAAGAAAAGTTATGACTGCGAGTGAATATTTTTTTTCCTTCTTCTTTTTCATTTTATTCCTCTGTTTATGAGAGGAAAATGATTTAAATGTGTTCCATCGTCATATTTATGTCCCTAACATCAGTATCAACAACATGCTGCTTATCTATGAATAATATTAAGTGTGTGAGAAAAAAAAATCCTAAAGGGTTGATACGGTGAAAAGATCCTTAACATTCTGTTAAACATCCGGCGATGTCTCCGGATGGAAAGTTATTTTAATGAGAAAAATTTGATCACATGTTTATGTTTTTTCCTTTTTTTGTTTCCCAGGAGCGACAGTCGTGTCGTGGCGAGTTAACAACCAGGAGCAACTGTTTGTTAGGTAAGTTACACTTTAAGATGTTCTTTTTTCTTCCTTCACGTTGCTTATCGTCTTCCGATGATCAACATCGAAGTATTTGTATTCTCCCGCCAGCGTTTTTATTTGTTGTCTTCTTCAATTGTTTCTTTCTTTCTTTCTCTTTGCGTTTACTTTTCTTGTGGTTTTTATTTTTGTTTGTTTGTTTTTTGAGAGAATAAATATTGCTCGAAGCGGAAGAAATCTGGAGGATTTTTGGCGGCAATGATTTGATTGCGATCGTTCTCCTCTTTTTTTTTATTTAAATAGCTAAATATTTTATTTTTTTATCTTTTTTTTTCTGCTGTGTAATCAGATAAGAAAGGAGAGATTTCTTGGTCTTTCATGAAACTAATATTCGTTATATAAAGAATACATTTGTGATAAGGAAAAATTATTTAAAGCTTTTATTTCCATTCCCACAATCTTCTTTTTTTCCTCATGCTCATAATAGATACCTAATTTGAAGCTTGAAATGACTTGAAATAGAAAAGAGAAGTGCTGTTTCAATTCTAATTTCCACTGATGAAAATTCAATGAAGTGGAAAATAATCATCTTTTGGGTCTAATCAAATTTCAAAGAAAATTAAAAAAAATTCTTTCCGTTACGTTTTTTTGTACCTAAATCACATAACATTAGCAACATAAAATAACTCGCCGAATAGTCACGCAAACAAAATGATCAAAAAAGGAAGAGAATTCTACATCAACCAATGAATCTTAAGAAGTTTGATAGCAAAAAAAAGCGATGCAGAATCTCTCCATGACATTCCACAGCACGAAAAATTATTTAAGCAGCATTTCTCGTAGACTACTTTTTGTCCATGTGATTTTAACACAAAAGCTACTTGGAAATAATGAAAACTTTTTTCTTGCCTGCCATCCCCCGGTCTTTTTTTAAGAATGGCATAACCGAAAATTTATGCAATTCTCTCGTTCATTATTTGCTGCCGGTTTTTATTTCTTCTCTCGAAATCTCCAACAGAAAAGGACATTATGCGACATGCCATCGCATTTGATATGTGTTTGTGATCTGTCAGACGTTGATTAATCCAATTTTCGTTTTGTTTTCGTTTCTTACTCTCTTTAACTCATATGCCATCCATAAATGGTCAATCTTTTATATTTTTTTTTCTTTATTCATTCCATCATTGTTGCCGTTTCTTTACGATAATCAACTGCAAAAAAATCGCGTGATTATAATCTCTACTCTCTTCGTTGTTAATGTTGCTGATGATGATGGTTTTGTACTGTTTGTATGATGTAAAGGGTCATATATCAGCTTCTAAAAGAAAAATTACTTCAAAATTACAAACTTTCAATGTTGCATTGTGATGTACAGTAGCTGATAATAATGAAAAATTCATTAACTTTTTTTTTGTTTTTAAAGAAACTTTCTGTTCGATTGTTTTCGTTGCATGTTCAGTAAAAACTATCTTAGACTTGGTTCAATGCAAAGGAGAAAAAACGAGGGAATCGATGGCAACTTAAACGATTTTCATGATCCATTCTTATTCGTTTGCTTCTTTCTGGTAGACATGAAGCTTTGTATCAAACCAAAAAACCCAAAAAAAAGAATAATTTGTAACTTCTGCTTCACAATGTTGCAATTTTATCGATGAAAGTTTCTTTGCCGTCTTTTGGTTGCGAAAAGTGCAGAATTTATCGGATTAATTCTCTCATTTGTATTGATGAAAGTGGTTTCTCTCCACTTTTCACGCTCTTCATAGCTTTTTCCTTACTAGACGATGTAAAATGGGGAAAATAATAAATGAAAAACAGGAAAATTCTTCATCTTGAGTTCTGTTTTTCCGGGGTAGAAACATTCGAGCGTAGAATTTTCGCCTAGTTTTTCACCATAGCCACGCTTGCATTTACGTTTTTTCTTTATGCTTTCGTCCATTCATAAAAACGCTTCGGAATTTTGTGAATGTTTTTGCTCGACGCTCCGGTTTTTGGACTTTTTTGCTTCTCAATTTTCCCTCTCTGCTGCTGTTTTCGAAGTTGGTTTTTTTTCTGCTGCTTTTGCTTCAAAAACTTTCAAATTGGGAACCGAAACATTTTTGCTGATGAGTTTCGTTTGTTTTTGCTGGCATCTTCCAATAAATAAATAAAGCAAGCACATTTTGGATTTAAAAGTTTCTCGACTTTCAAATGGTTTCATATGCTTTTTTCTTCTTTTAACTAGATATTGCCTTTTATTCTTATTTCTGTGGTTCGTTGTTTTAATTCTGATTTTTGCACGCTTCTTTCAATGCAAAGAAGAGAGTTCAGGTAACTTTGAAGTTTCATTAGTGATGCTATGCTGTCGGCAATTCATATAAGCCGAAACTACTGTTATTTGATGTTGAAGGTTTTTATTCCTCTAAAGTTGTAAACTTTCATCTTAAATCTCAAAATATAAATTGATTTTGTCAACATAAAATAAACTGCAGGTCAACAAAATTGAAATCATCGACGAGGTAAGCTGATAAGAAACCTCGTTGCACACCATCGTAACTAAAGTTATCCCAATTCATTTAAACAATTATGGTTTTTTACTGAATCATTCAATGATCAAACGATTTTTCAATTGTTATCGCTGACGCGTTTCGTTCAAATTTAATTTCCTTTAATTTTAAAATTACTTCGATGTTTAACTTTTTCAGTAAATTGGCAGTGTTTGATGGGAAGAAAGCTATTAGAGGTGGAATCCCATTTGTGTTCCCACAGTTCGGTCCATGGTCATTTGGACCGAATCATGGCTTTGCAAGAATAGTCAGATGGACACTGGAGCGTGGACCAGAACGACTTCCTAATGGTGATGTCGAGGCTGTTTTAAGTTTAATGGATACAGATTTCACACGATCCATGTGGAACTATCCGTAAGTTTTTCTATCTCATCATTTTATAACATTTTATTTACATGAAAATTAATTCTTACAAATGAAAATAAAGGTTTCGTATCACATATCGCATTATCTTAAGAGAGAAAGAACTTCATTTCCATATTGGAGTTTATAATCCAAGTAAAGAATTGGCATTTTCATTTAACCTACTTCTTCATACATACTTGAAAGTTCCTGATGTTCGTAAATGTCAAATTACGGGACTTCATGGTTGTACTTTTATCGATAAGGTAAAAAGAAGAGAAATCGTTGAAATGTGAAGATTTTAATTCGTTTTTAATCACAGACGAGAGACGGTGCAATTTACCAAGAAGGGCGTGAAGTTGCAACAATTAATGAATGGACCGATAGGATATATCAACATACAAGTCAAGAACACATTATTACGAATGTTGTTTCCGGAAGAAAGATGCGTCTACAAAAATATAATTTTCCAGATACTGGTAAGAGTTTTTCACAACATTTTATATTGAATTAAATAATTTAAAAATCGAATGTCTTGTTATTGACAGTCATCTGGAATCCATGGTTAGATAAAGCTCGTGAAACGCCTGATTTTGGCGATGATGAATATCCTAATATGGTTTGCGTAGAAGCTGGGCACGTGTCTTCACCTGTGCTGCTTCTACCTGGAACAGCGTTCGAAGCTTCTCAAATTCTTCAAGTGATTGTGAATCCGAAAAGATGAAATTCGAGAAAGTCCCAGCGCCAAAATCAAAATCAGCCGCCACCTCAATCTCAACAACATCAACAGCAGCACGCTCCTGTTGCGCCACCAACGCAACATTTGTCGTTCAATCCGTACATAAGATAAGCTGTGAAGTCATGTTGGGGAGACAACGTAATTTCTTTGAATTAAAATATTTATTTAACTTAATATTCTCGAAATAATTTTTTAATCGATTCAAAGAAATTAGCGGCTGCGCTCGGACTTTCTTATTAGTTGAGAATATAATATTCTTAAAATATATATATAAAAAAATCTTCTTCTCTTCCCTTGTGGAAAATGTTGTAAAATGTGAAAGTAAGTAATCGAAACGGACAAAAAACAATTAATTTGTAAATGCACAAAATGGATGGATGACGTCTACATAGAAATAATTTAAACCTTAAAAAGACTTTGTCGAAGATGACGTGAGAGTGTGAAACGTTTTTTTTTCTTGTTTTTGATATTATCTAATTAATGAGAGGAAACTCAGGATAGAAGTGAAATTGAAAATTAATGATATTGCACAATTAAAAAAAAAGAAATTTATCTTAACCGAAACGATACCAATTTTTTTGATGTATACGAATGAAACAGAATTAAAATAAAAGATAAATAAAATGAAATAAATTCTGATCGAAAATTTTCCATGGAAATCTAAAATTAATTTTTCCAAAAATGAAAAAATCGTCAATTTTTCCAAAACAATTAAGGGTTGTAATAATTGATTCAAAAATTAAGATAAAAATATTATGAAACTCGAAACATGGAAGAAATTTTATTACCTACACAATTTCTTTTAACGATAAAACTTTTCTTAATCACACCTATTTTGGTTTTACATGTAAAGAGATAAAACGCTTAGCGGATTTTTACAGGTTGTCAACTGAAATAATTTTTAATGATCGAACTTTTAAGATCAATCAACTGTTTTATTATGAATGTACTTTTAACAAATTGGATGATTGATTGTTATTGACAAACTTTTATTAAAAAGAAACAAAATTCTTCCATAGAACCCCAATAATAATATTTAAATAATATTTTCTAACAAAACGTCCTTCGTTCTAATTGAAACATAAAGTTCAATGAGAAAACTCTAAGAAAAAGAAAATTTGAATTAATTAAAAGTGTTGTAAATGTTTTGAATAAAGTTACTAAATTTGAAAGCATGAAGGTGATTATATTGTTCTCATATAATCATCAATAAATTTGTAAAAACTTCTTTTTTTAAAAGAAAATAATAATAAGAAAAAAGAGATGATATAATTAAATTGAAAATCTTTAACTTATTTAATCTTAGTCAAGAATCCTGAATCATTTGTTTCATAGAAACATTCCACTATCATTTCCTTTTATTTGAACACCACCAAGGACTCCAATTTGATTCATTTGCATTTTAATTCGTAGTATTCATCTCAGGTTGCATAACATTTCCTTGATTTTGACCAATTTGTTGGTTCATTTGGGGACGGATCATTGATGGGCCATGATTTGATATATTGACCTGTTGCAGTTGTCTCATTATTCCTTGATTTGGCCCACCCATCGTCATTCTTAGTCCTTGTTGTTGTTGCTGTTGTCGTCCCACCATTTGAGGTTGAACATTTCGCGTCTCTTGGCTCGCAAAATTCTGCAAAGCATTAATAGGATCTTGAATGCCGGCATTTTCTTGGCCTCATTGTCCTTGTTGACAACCAGATTGTGAGTTGCTACCACCATCAGTATTCTTATTTTTATAATCTACACAGACAGAATTTAAGTGAACTTTCTAAGCTTTTAAGAATTAGGATAAATTTTTCATTAAATTCTATAGGCTCTGAACAGAAATTTAACCGACAATATTTATTTTAAATATCCGCTTCAATATCCATGTTTCGCTTCATTTTCATTTTGTCATAATCCTCTAAACTAAAATTTTGTAAACAAACAACAAATTTGTTGCTGTCAGATCTTAATGATTTTAATTTGAAAAAGCTTGCGAGCAATAAGTTTACGAAAATGGATATAGTTGAATCACTTTGCTGCTTATGTGCTGATGACCTAGATGATCCAATATTGCTAGAAAGATGTGAAGGATTAACAGAAATTCAAAAATTAGTAGATCATGTAAGTATAAGAAATTAAATTTTCTTTTAAATAATAACATTAAATATTTTTCAGCCATTGAAACTTAACTCTCATATATGTATGAGTTGTTTTCTTCTTTTAAGTAGCATACGAAAGTTTTCTATACAATTCCAAAAGACTCAAAAGCTTTTTACTTTTTTGTTGACGATGTTTGATCCAGCAATTGAATTAGATTTGAATGAACTTAGAAAGCAATATGGTTTGGATTTGGATGATAAAGCTGATAAATCAACTGAAAGTGTCGATCTTTCATTAGATATAAAAGACGAATTCATGAATTCCCAAGGTTTGCAAAATTTCATATATTGAAATCTCACGTTTTGAAACTTTGAGTTTTATTTTAGCGCTTTCATGTGGGGATCATGCATTTAATGAACTTGAAGACTTTGGAGAAATCTCAACAATGTCTCCCCCTGAAAGTAACTTTGTGATAGATGTTGAAGTAAAAGAAGAGGAGGAACAAACATTGAAGATGCAAGTTGATGATAATCAAGATGAAGATCTAAATTCAAAAACTGAAACATCTTCAGATGGTCACATAAAGTAAGTTTCAAATTAAGCAATTTAAATCGTTTATTTTATTTATTTCTATTCTATGACAAAGCTTTACCTGCCATATTTGTCAAGAAGAATTAAAGACATTCTACAGTCTAAAGAACCATTATAAAAGGGAACACCAAACCAACCCTCAAATGACATGCTCATGTGGTGCAACTGTCACTTCGAAATCACAAATTCTCATTCATCGAAAGATGCACATGACTAAAAATCTATTCTCGTAAGAAATAATTCGTTTTTTTGTAATCAAACTTTTGATATTTATAGATTTTCTTCTTTAAAGTTGTAAGTTTTGCGACAAAATATATTCTCATCAACAGTCACTACAAAGTCATATGAGACGAACTCATCCAGACACTAAAAATTCTTCATTCTTGTGCTTAATTTGTCCAAAACAATTTGACACAGAACGGAAATTAAAAGTTCATAATCAGTCACACTTACCAGATGAAAAGAAGATGATTCACCCTTGTCCTTACTGTGATAAAAGATTCACCAAATCTGTCAATATTCAAGCTCATGTTCGGTCAATTCATCAAATGGAAAGACCTTTTCTATGTTCCGAATGTGGAAAATGTTTCAGTACCAAAGGGGCACTAAAGGAACATCATGTAATTCATTCCGACACTTATCCTTATCAATGTAGCTTTTGGTGAGTTAACCGGTCAAAGTCATCACTAAAATTTCGTTTGCAACTTTAATTTTTTAATATTTTCAGTCCGAAGAAATTCAAAAATCTTCCGAGACTGAAGACTCATGAAGACATTCATAACCCGACACAGTATATTTGTAATATTTGTGGAATTTCTTTGAATACAAAACGAACTTTGAAGATGCATATGGTGAGATTATATGAGGAATTTCAAGTATTTATTTATTCACAGTAGAATATTTCTGTAATCTAATCTATATGAGAATTTTGATGAATAATTTCATTGTGAGTTCTTTTCTTTCTTTTCTTGAAATTTCAGGTTGTCCATAGCGATCAAAAAAGATATAAATGTCAATGCTGTGGTTCAAGTTTTAAACGCTCCAAAGCACTTAAAAATCATTTGATTCTTCATTCGGGTCTTCGTCCATATTCTTGTCCTTTTTGCGATAAGGTAAATTTGTAAGCTTTTTGAATAGATTTTAGTTAACAGATTTAAATCTTTACAGACATTTGCAAATGGTTCAAATTGTCGTAGTCATAAGAAAAAGGCTCATCCAGCTGAATTAGCCGCACTTGAAGCAAGTGGAAAAGTTTTAAATTCGGCACCAAACATTCCAAGCCTTGAGCAACTTCAACCAAAAGTTCAACAAGTTTAATATTTAAAGAAAATGATTAGTCGAATATCAACATTTTAAAGAAGATAAAACAAGAGTTTCAATTTCAAAATAATCTTTGTGATTCTCGCCCAAAGCTTCTACATTCATCCAAGGAATGACCAAAAAATAAGATTTAAAAGCAACAATAAAAGAATTCATCATCAATAATTCATATTCCTGTACCATCAACTACTTCAAAGAATGAGATCGTAAATTTTCAAGATTCATTTGAGCTTTGATTTATTCGAAACTTAAAGTTAACGACTTGAACAAATAGGACAGAACAAGAAAGAGCTTTTTGAAAAGTGATTTACGGGGAAACATTCCTCAACATTCAATTGTTCGTAATATGAAAGGAAAAAGAAATAAATTCAACTTAAAAATTGCAATAAAATTAAAAGCTTTTATTTCTGAATTTATCAATACTTTCCAACAAAAAAATCATTAAATTATCAATTTCATGATCAGACTTTCTGTCTTGGTATGTGCCACGTTTTTTTCGTAAGTAATCGTCGGGATTTATCTGAAAATTATTAAATATTTAATAAATGTTTAATAATAGATGAGAATGAAATTTATTTGTTCGTCTTACGTTATGATTACCAATCGCGCGAAAAACGTTAAAAGTTATGTAGAAAACAAACCAAAGTGTGAACCATAATGGAATGTACCAAAGCCATCTCCCGACATAGAAATAACTATAAGTCGTGCTTGCTCTCGTCTCTTTTCCAACTTGTATATTCATTAAATCTTTATTGGAATTATTTTTTTGTTCTTCATGTTTTTCTAATGAACTATATGTATTGTGTGATGCTTCTAATAGTTGAATCTTTTCTGCCTCATTTAACTTCACGTTCTGTATGACCACAATAAGTAAAAGAAAAGTCTTGTTCAGTTGATGAAATTTTTCAAACATCTTTAAATAAGTTTTCTAGAATGAGCACTTGTTGGCACATTAAGTTTAGTGATGATAGTATCTCATAAGACTTTGTGAATTTCTGTATCTAATACTCCTTCCAACTACAGAACTTTCTGTGGTCATTGTGTTTGCATGGAGGAGAAAAAAACGAATTGAAAAATGTTTTCTGACGTGTCAATGTGATCTAATTCTTTCAGTAAACATTTACGTGGGTCAATAAATATTAAATAAATATTATTATTTGATTAAAACCTGAATGAAAAAAATTTCTCTTTGGACCTAAATTCAAAAGATTTTCAAATGATTATCTGCTGGAAGTTAAGTGATTCCAAACAATTCATGAAATAGCAGTATTAATTCATGATTTCCATAGATAGAGAATCACCGAACTAAACGATATTTTGTCGAAGAATATATTAACAAATATGAAGTAATGCAATGAACAAAGTTCATGACGCAAAACTTTCAAAATATCATAAAATAAATTCAAAAAATATTAATTAAAGTGCAAAAAAGTGCGTTTGAATTTTCTTTTATATATACACGAGTGAAAAAGAAAAGAATTCAAAGAACAAAGAAAATTGGAAAACAATGTCACAATTGTGTGGCGCGAGATGCGGCGAGCCATTTGACAAAGAAGACAAATCTGTCGTTTGTAGTGGTCCTTGCAGATTGAGATTTCATAAAAAATGTTCTCCTTTATCTTCCCAACAATACGAATTACTTATGAAAACTGATGCCATAGTTTTTAGATGCAAGTCTTGTTCAGATGGTGATAAATTTATATTAAGCAACTACGAAAAAATCCTAAATAAATTCGATACGCTGGAAAAGAAGATGGATTCAAGCCTTAAAAAAGTTTGTCAACAAATTGATGAAATAAAAAAAAAAGAGACCAATGATGTCCAATGTATGAATGAAATATCAAAAGTATCTAAACAAATTGAAGAATTAAATAAAAAAGAGACCAATGATGTCCAATGTATGAATGAAATTACAAAAGTATATAAACAAATTGAAGAATTAAGAAAAAAAGAGACCAATGATGTCCAACTCATGAACAAAATTACAAAAGTAATAGACGATCGTTGCCAACCAGCATGGAATGAAGTAGTCAAGAAAAAACAAGCTCCAGTTGTTGTATTAGTACCAAAAGATAAATCAAAAAATAGAAATGATACTAAATCCTCTGTTAAAAGCTTAATAAAAGAATCAGATCTGAGTGTGAATAAAATGTCGAGAGCAGCGAATGGAGGTCTAATTATAGAATGCGATGACGAAGATAAATGCAACAAAGTTCTTTCAGCAGTCAATAAAACATTAGGAAAAGACTACACTGTACAAAAACCAAACGCTCGTCAGCCAAGATTGAAAATTTTAAAAATAAGAAATCCTATAGAAGATAACGATGAACTTATAAATGACTTGAAACAGCATAACAAGTGTCTCAAATTTGATTCTTGTCTTATGGAAGTTATTAAAAGGGAACAAGTTAAATCAAAAGGAAAAGTGTTACAAGAAATCTACAACATTATTCTACAAGTTAATGGTGAAACCTACAACAAAATAATGCAAGAAAAACAATTGATAGTAGACTGGGAAACATATAAAGTCGTTGATAATGTATATATCAGGAGATGTTACAAATGTTTTGGTTTCAATCATAATGCAGCCGAATGTCAACATAAGACTGTTTGTAGCTTTTGTGGCTCTGAAAAACATAAAAAAGAAACCTGCCAAGAAAAAAAAGAAAAATGTATCAATTGCACTAAAATTAATGAACATTTAAACTTGCGACTCGACACTTATCATAGCGTTTGGTCTAATAATTGTGAAGTTTACAAAAGAAAACTAGAAGTGAGCAAGAGAGGCATCCAATACATCGATTAGCAATCAAAAAGTCATCATGATATTGTATACAGTAATTGTCAAAGCTTATGGTCCAATTTAAGCGTGATTGAAGATATTTGTGCAGCAAAAACACCAAAAATATTAATGCTGTCTGAGACACACATAACAGATGACATAAGTGATAGTGAATTGAGTATAAAAAATTATAATTTAATCAGATGTAATTCTAATTCAAGACATACTGGTGGAGTAGCAATATACATTGAAAAAAAAATAAGTTTTAAAGTTTTATGCAACATATTTGAGCACAAAACTTGGATTTTGGCAATTAAAATCGAACGAAATCTCATGAGTGGTGTCTATGCTGTCGTTTATAAATCTCCTCAGGAAAAAATAAATAACTTTCTATCAGTACTCGACAAGTTTTGTGAAGAACATATAAATGACGAAAATGATAATATAATCGTTGGTGATTTTAATATTAATTTAGCTTATAAAAATAATAACGTTAATAAATATTTAGATCTAGTGAAAGAATATAATTTGACACAAATAATAGACGATTATACAAGAATAGACATTAAAAGAAATTCTAAAACGATAATTGATCACGTGTTAACAAATAAATCAAATGAAATTAGTTTTAACATAAATAAAAATGATATAATTAGTGATCATTTTATTATTGAAATATCATGCAACGTTAAAACGAACACTACTAAAAAACATAAAGAAAAACAAATCATAACATGCTGGAATAAATATAATGCTGAAAAAGTGAAAGAATTATTATTAAAAATAAACTGGAATGAAAATATCGGTGAAAACATTGATGTAACTTCTACTAATTTATTTAAATCATTACAAACGACATTAAATCAAATAATTTTTACCAAAAGTGTTCAGATTTCGCCTAATCCTTGGTATAATCATGAATTAAGAAAACTAAAATTACTTAAAAATAAATTTAACAAACGCTACGAAATTTCAAAGTCAGAAGTTGACAAATTAAACCTAATGGAACTGAAGTTAAAATATAAAGAAAGAATTAAAAAAACAAAGTGTGAATATTATCAAAATAAAATCGAAATGAATAAGGATGACCCGAAAAAAATGTGGAAAACCTTAAAAGAATTATACAAACCAAAAATGCAAAAAATTGAAAAAATTAATTATGAAAATTGTGAAATAAGTGAAACTGCAGAGATTTCAAGAAACTTAAATAAATTTTTTGTCAAGAGCGTTGATGAAATTGTGACGGAAATTCCAACTTCGGTGAACAAAGATTACAACAACAACATACAAAAAATTAAAAGCAATTTTAAATTAGAAAAAATCTCAATGATTGAATTAAAATTAATTGCAAGTGAATTAAGAAATAAAAATTTTATTGACAATATAAATGGAAGAGTGCTAAATGATTGTTTGAAGGAAGAAGTCTTTGCGAATTTCCTTCTCAATTTCATCAACGAGTCAATAGAAACAGGTCAGGTTCCATTGAATTTGAAGACATCTGTAATCAGCCCATTGCCGAAGAAAATAAATCCTGAGAATCCACAAGATTATCGCCCAATAAATATGTTACCAGTGCTAGAAAAATTTTTAGAAGTTGCAGTTAAAAATCAGTTATTAAATTACATCGAAGAAAATAAGATCCTTATAGAACAGCAGTCAGGCTTTAGAAAGAATCACTCGTGCGAATCAGCTTTAAATTTTTGTTTGATAAAATGGATGGAAGATATTCAAAATGAGAAAGAAATCATTGCAATATTCTTAGACTTTAAGCGAGCTTTTGAGACAGTTAATCGATCAACATTGCTAACTAAAATGGAAATATTAGGATTTGAGAAGAATACTATCCAATGGTTTCAAAGCTACTTGAATTGCAGGCAACAGAAAGTCAAAATTGAAAATGTTTTTTCCGAAGTCATCACTGTCAACAATGGACTTCCACAAGGAAGTATTTTGTCGCCAATTCTATTCGTTTTATACATAAATGATATCAACAAAGTTATCCAGAATGCAACGATAAAACTATTTGCTGATGACACCATGTTGACGATTTCAGGAAAGAATTTATCAGAAGCATGCAGCAAAATGAATGAAGATTTAAAGCATCTCGAAGACTGGTTGAAATTCAATAAGTTAGCCCTCAACATGAACAAAACAAATTTCATGCATATAACATTAAAGAAAAACAATGAGAATCAACAGGACTTACAAATAAATAATAATTCTATCAATAAAGTTACTTGTGTAAAATATTTAGGAGTTCAAATAGACGAAAAACTTTCTTTCATCCCACATTACAATTATATAAAATCCAAGATGTGCAAGAAATTAGGATTGTTCAGAAGAATTGAAAGCAAACTAAACCAAAGAAGTAAACTTATTTTTTATAAATCAATCGTAATGCCACATATTGATTTCTGCTCAACAATAATATTTCTCCTATCTGATACACAAGTTGCTGAATTACAAAAAGTACAAAATAAATTTATGAGAATTATTCTACGAGCAAAACGAGACACGCACATAAAAGATATGTTGAATAATTTGGATATTTTATCAGTGAAGCAACAAATAGAATTTAATGTTATAAAATTTTTTAACAAAGCTGAAAAAAACATTCTTCCAAATTATATATGTGATAAGTTGATTAGGAGAAATAGAATTTGCAGTTATCCTGTAAGATCTGGAAATGATTACAATCTTCCAAACTTTAAAATGAAATTAACACAAAACTCATTATTATATAAAGGTTTAACTATGTATAATAAATTTTTACATGAGTATAATCATTGTCCAAGCTATCAAGATTTTTTAAAAAATTGTAAAATGTTTGTAAAAAATCATTGAAAAAAAGAAACAATTTTGTTTTAAATAAATACAAATACAAATACAAAATGTCATAGGCTTTAAATTAATCTGAAATTTTAATCAAAACTGCAACTCGAACTGAACAGTCCGAGTAGATTAAATGATTAGATCCGGAAAGCAACTTCATACATATGACAATAATTAAAATCATTTAACAAATTCACCACTGAAGCACAACATTGGATACATGTTCAAACCCGTTTTATAATTGTTAGGATGCATCAAAAAGAAATGAGGGCAAAAGCTAAGCCAAAAATTGATAAATTGGAATCACAGCCATTTATAAAATCTTTGCTTACTCGTCTTAAAATCAGCAATATTATGCAGGTGGATGAAATACTTTTCATGCCTAATAATAATTGAAGGAAATATTTGATATTGAATAATTTTTACCTGCCCAAACATAATACAATAAGTATTTCAATCAAAAGAAAACATTCTTTTTGTGTAAACAACGAACTTTAATTGTTCAAAAAATTATGTTTCAATGTTTTACATTTCAATTGGTAATATTTGAATGCATGACGAAAAAGAAAAACATTTTAGAAGTCAGAGATATTTCTCTTTGAAATCCTCGATTTGTTTCATAGTGAAAGCAGTTATTTTATTAATCTTCTCAAGTGTCTCTTTTTGCGACAGGTCATGCAGACTTCGCTGGTAGTGATTTGGTAAATCCACCTAATTATTATTAACAAAGAACAAGAAAAGAAATGATTAGTATAGAAATTGATTTTGACATGTGAATTAATTAACCTTATGACGTCCAATGGAACGTATAATCAAAATTGATACATAAATAGTGAAGTAGAGAGTGAAATACAGTGGAATATACCAAAGCTTTCGTCCCAAATAATAATAACTGTACTTTTTCAATCGAGGTTCTTCTGGCGCTTCAGTTGTTGTCGTAGTCGCTTCTGGTTCGTGATGATGTTGATGATGATGCGGATCATCATATATAACGTCACCATGCCATGGTGAATGATGATCATGTCCCATTATATCAGACATATGTGGTCCTGTATAATCAGACATAGGTGGGCCCATCATGTCTGATTCACCCATACCATAATTCATAGGTTGATCCATATCTGGTGACGTCATTGGCATTTGATCAATCATCTGCATTTGCTGCGGCATTTGCATTGGCGCCGGTGTCATCGGTGATGGCATCATTTGACCTATAAAATTATTCTTCTTGAAGTTTTTGATATGAAACTCAAACCATCAATAGAAACCATTGACACTCCCAGAAATCGGTGGAAAATAGTTATAGCCTGAAGTCATTTGTTGGTTCATTTTAGGTGGAAGAAATGTAATTTGATCCTTAGGTGGGGATAGATTTTTTGAAGGTAGGATATTCATCATGTTCATATAAGATAGGACAGGATTTAACTCGCTTCCCGATGCAGGTGGAGAATAACTATTGCCAGGATTCTTGGGATATTTGTAATCTGGTGGTAAATAAGTCGATTTAATATTTGGTGGAAAATTATAAAAATCTTTAGGTGGAATATAAGATATTTGATTAGAAGAATCTTCTTCAGAATTCTGAACGTTATCATCTGAAGGCACATCACCAGAGGGTGGTGGTAAATAACTGTTAATTGGAGATTTCGTCGGTTTCATTCCAGGTGGAAGATAAACTGAATTTATATTTGGTGGAAAACTAAAAAGATTTTTTGGTGCAACATAAGGTTTTTCGTCATCATCATCATCTTCGTTGTTTGAAGAATTTAATGAAATACTAGTCATCATCGGTTGATTATTATTCGTCATAATTAATGACTTCATTGTGTCATTAACATTTTGCATGTGTTGACTAACTGACATAATTGGTAGTTTAGCTTCTGTTGGCAATCGAGGTGGCTGATATACAATTTCAATGTTTTGTGGAAGGTTTTTGTATCGACTTTTAATATCGTTAATTTCTTTTATTTTCATTATATCTTCTGGTGATATTTCAATGTAATTAGAATCTTCATTTGATGGTGATTCGGAAGTGTCTGAAGATGAAATTGTATTATCTTTATCATTACCAAACTTCAGCTGATGATTGTTATTGTCAATGGAATCTTTGATGGCATCAAGTTCATCAGGTATGTAGGATGAATTAATATGTGATGGGAAAGCGAGTAGATCAAATGAAGGATTTTTGGATGTTGTTTCATCGGGTAAAGGAGTTGGTAAAAAGACGGTACCTCCTAAATTCATGTTTGATATGTATGAAGATTTAGGTGGTGATGCTGAAAGCATATTTGGAGTTAAATAAACTGGTGGTTTCGATGGTGACGATGGGACATCTGGTACAAAGATTGGGGCAGTGAATTTTGTTGCCGCTGATGGCATGTCGGGAACGACAATGGGTGCATTGAATTTCGTCGGTGCTGGTGATAAATCAGCCACAACAATGGGTGCACTGAACTTTGCTGAGTTAATTGTAAGTTGAATCACTTAATCAATAATTTTATTTCTTTCGTTTTTCTTTAAATCTCTCACCTGTTGGCGCTTTATTGTATTGGTTACCTATTGTATGTTCCTTCCCTTTAAATGGGTAAATTGAGTCAGGCGTGTATTGATATCTTCGGTGTGCCGTATTGTACCCTATGAAAGAGAAACAGAATAGAAAATCCGAAGAAATAAAAGGTAGGTCAAATAAAAATAAATCATTTCTAGTGATTCCCACTCGATCCTATTGTTTTTCCATGAATACTATTCAAGTATCATCAACTTTAGCGATATAAGCGGCAACCAAATCGATATATAAATTCCCAATTTGTAATAAATTCAGTTATTTAACTTTTTCTTTCTGACATTCAGTTGTTTTGATCCATGGGCCATGGAAAGTTTTCTTCTTCTTCTTTTTTCTCAATTCAGTGTTGAATGAAAAAGCAAAAAAAATTGAAGCGAGAAAGGAAAGAAAAAATCGAAGATCCCAAAATTGTTTGTTCATAAATCATCAGATTTGATTAGGAGCGGGGGTGTGAATAATGTTTTGCGGTAGAACAACTAGTAGAGAATGGGGAAAAAAGAACGGAAGAATACAATTTCCATTGTGACTATTACAGGTTGATTTTCCTCGAACACTTTTCTTTTCACTTCACTCTCCTACGCACGCTACTTCTCTTTATTTTTAAAGGAGGAATTACTGTGAAAGCCCACAAATAAAAAAATAATAAAGAACGATAAAAGAAAACTCGTGTTTGGTTCTTTTATTTACGAAGTCTGTGTAAAGCAGTGCTAATGCGTGATTCCTGCGTCTGATGGATGAACTTTGATTTTGAAGAAATAAAAAAATAGAGTTGTGAATGTAAGCGCGATAAAACAAAATTCTCGTCTATTTAGATTGTCAATTTATTCATTTCTGAAAATTTGCGTTATGTGGCGAATAACAACATGTCGAGTGCTTCAAACATGTAGGTAGTTATTAGTAATAAATATTCTAAAATTATTCATTTAATATACATATAACGAAATCGATTAACGACATCAGTTAAGTTTAGTTTTATCGTGAATTTTATGTTGATAGAGACGGTAATTAAATTTTAATTTTTCGAAACAAAGTTTTAAATAACCAGGAATTCTTTTTTAAAAACTTACATAGAAAAAATAAATAAATATGTAACTTTATTGAATGTAACTTCTTCACAAATTTGGATTCATAACCCTGAACCTTCCAAATCACATTAAAATTCGTATCGCGTGCTTTCATTTGATTTTTTTTAATAACTTTATAAAATTATGTGAGAGTACCATGTACTCTCTTGACGAATCAAAGTCAAAACCAAATTATTTGTTTTGATATTGATTGTGTTAAGTCGCATTAAGCTTTTGACCTTCCTTACCTACTTAATTATTTAGTAATCGGAAAAAGCTTTGGAAGTCGTTTGATCTCATTCATATTGAAGTGTAAAATTTCATAACTACATTTTTGTGGCTTGAAGCTTCGTGAAATACAATAGTTTAATAATTTAGAAAAACAGTGAATTAATGATCGACTTGGTTAATTTTAATAATTTGCGACAGTTTCCTGAAATTACTAACCTGTTGAGGGATTCATGTAATATCTTCTTCTTGTTTGATCGATTGTGTTACTTTTCACAACTGAATGAGACGATGGATAAACAATTAACCTTCCCGCCTTTTCATTATTGTATCTGTTGCTTTGAACAGGATTCATCAAAAGATTCTTTAATGGAAAATAAAAGTTGCTTTGAATGGCACGTCCTGTTGATTTTTCACTCTTATCGCCAGTTTTCGTTTCTTCTTGTTCTTCAGTAAAATTTTTTATTGTCTCATTGCGATTTTTGATGATACTTCTCGGCATAATTCATAAAGCAAGATAAAAAAATTGAAAACGACGCATGAAATGGAATTTAATTTAAGTTGATTGAAAAAATTTTAACTAAGAGGAAATTTGAAAAATTTCATTCTTTTATTATATGAATTCAATTTGAGTTCACTTTTCGATGCCAAAATTCCTTCTTGTAGCGAAAAAATAATTTTTGATAAAATTTTATTGTAAGAAACAGAAAAATTGTGCAATTGAAACATAAAATTTCTGTAAAAGGATATTATATTTCATTTTTTGGTCTTTAGCATTGACAAGCGAAAATTATTTTATGATGAAAAA